GTATAGCAGCCTTCCCAACCTATTGTCCTCCAGATGTACCAGCGTACAGTTCCTAGGCAGCATCTTGAATAAAAGAGAATACTACTATAAAGAGTCAGAGACTGGGATGAGTTGCAGTGATCCATGCTCCACCCATGGAGTGCATGAACCACTCCTTTCTTACTCATAATGTTGCACAACTGTAATGGATTCCAGTTTTGTTTGACATAAGTAGCATCTAAAGAAACAAGCTTGATTCTCAAATCCCATCTCAGCATTTTTGACAGGCAGTGAATAGCCTTTAGAGTTTGTATTATGACAAATCCAGGGTTTAGAAACACTGCCCTATGGGGAAAGACTGGGAGAACTGGGTATGTTCAGCCTTGAGAAGAGAAGGCTGAGGGGGGATATAATATCACTCTGTAAATACCCCAAAGGCTGTCAGAAAGAGGAAGGCCAAGATCTATTTTTGCTGATACCAGAGTTTACTAAGTTGTGTAACTCAAGTTGTGACAACCCAAGTTCAGGCTAGATATCAGGAAAAGTTTCCTCACTGTCAGAGCAATATAACAGTGGAACCAGTTGCCTAAAGAGGTTGTGGGCTCTCCCACACTAGCAGCCTTCAAGAAGAAACTAGGCAACCATCTGAATGGGATGGTGTAAATTGGTGTCCTGCACCAGCAGGGGATTGGACCCGGTGGCCTTCTTGGCCCCTTCCAACTTTACTATTCTATGATTTTATGGAATATGTGTTGTTGCTTAGTGGACAAGGGTATGAATTCAGGTGTTAACCCATGAAGGTGTGCAGTTTTATTGCAGACATTTTTCATTTTTCTGGTTGAGGAAAGATACGGCAGTAGAGCCGAATGTTCCCATGTGCTACAAAATGCATGCAACCTGAGCACTGGGTGAATGGGAATGATAGGCGAAACTGTGTTACGACTCAATCAGCTGTGATTATTGTAAGCCCCCAAATTTATCCCCTGCCATCATTCTGCCCTGCAGTTTTGTTAAATGGGCTTTTTTTCCCTGTGAAAAGACGGTCTTTCGGATGCAAGGGAAGGAATAGCCTCCCCATTCTCCTCCCTTCCCCACCCCCTGAAGCACCGCCATTTCCCTCTCTCTGAGGTTGCTTTCCTGACTTTCAAAGCAGAGTGTGGTTCTTTCTGTGCCAGCTGCACTAAGAGGCAGGAGAAGAGCTTCAGTTCCCACCACTGAAGTTTGAGTGTCGTCTCTGAATTTGGAACTGGGACTACAAAACATCCTAAGGCCCCCAGACCTTGCCTAGATTACTTGCTGTGCAGGAGCTGCCTCTTGGAATTTCTTTTCCTTCTTGCAGTGAACATCAACATCAGATTGATGAACTAATGAGAGAAATAAACAAATTCACAGAGAAACCGCACATTCTTAAAACAAAACTAGAAAGAGAAACCAATTTCAAAAAGGTAAGAGGAGGAGAATGTGGTTGGGGATCCACCATGCAACTGAAAAGTTTTCTTTCAGAGCAAGAAAAACAATAAATGGACCTTCATCCTAGTTTGCAGTGATGATACACCTGTGCAGGAGTGGTAGCACTTTACGTGTGGGACTTCTTTGATGAAACATAGAAACAGAGCGAGTCAGAAGGGGCCTCCTGGGCCATTTAGTCTGACCCCCGGCTCCATGAAATACCCTTCCATGCAGCAAAAAGCTCCAAACACTGAAAACTGCCTTCCCCTTAACATGCCTGGAACTAGTCCTTTGGGTCCTTACCTTCATAATTCCTTGGTGCTGAATCAGCTCCACATTTAATGTTAAGCCAGGAGAGAGAAGGGACCATGGCTCTATAGCAGAGCACATGGCTTTGTGATAAGAAGGCCCCAGGCCCAGGCCCAGCCCCAGCCCCTGGCACCTTCTCTTTAAAAAAGACGGTGCAGCAGGTCTGAGGCCCCAGAGAGCCATTGCCAGTCAGAGCAGACCATACCAAGCGAACTGGACAACTCTTTGGCACCACTGCAAAATGACTGCCATGGAAGACATAGCAAGGGGTGTGTAACCTCCCCAAAAGCCTGAGCGCAGATAGAGGCGAGATCTGAGCCGCAACACACTAAACGGCTTCTTTTCACTCACCGTTTTCGGCACAAGCAGAAACCTCGTCACAGCAATCCCTGCTGCCCGTCAGCCAGAAGCGAGAGGGAGAGGTTTAGAGTGCCAAAAGAGTTGCTTGGGAGCACAGTGGTGCCTGCAGGGAACACATTGCCCACCTCCAGTATAGAGCCATTTGGGAGGGGGGCGAATTGCTCCCAGGTTTTGAGTAGCAAACCTCATTCTGTCGTGGCTCCCTGGCATGATATTGGCGCCATATTCATCAACTGCCTGAAGCATATGATTGGCCCAGGACAGCATTCACTGCAGTCTGCTTACATTCACAATGTTTGCTTCTTTTTCAGAGCTGGCTCATGGGCTGTTTTTGTCAGGAACCATCATCCTACCTTGCGGGGTTGTAGTAAACACAATGTAAAATGCACAAGTAGTGCTGAGATTCTCAAAAGGAGGGCAGGCGTTAAGTGTTAGGAACATTCCCCCCCCCCCATTCATTCATTCAAACCTGTTATACCCTGTCCTATACATAAAAATCTCAGGATGGTCCAACAACGAAGGCTTTTCCTTTCTAGTTCTGAATATATTTCATCTGTTCCTTCTCCAGTTGTGGCATGTTGTCATTGTCACTGGGGACCAGTGACAGGTCCAAGTAAATCAAGCAGGGGAGATTTTGCACGTTGCGTAGGTCAGCTCAGAGCAACTGCACCAACCAAATTCTGGACAGTTTGCCTGGACAAATTCTGCGGCATGTGTTGTCAAGCACAAGCCTGCTTCTGATGCTATAATGTGCTCCTTACAATGTCACCCTAACCCTTCTCTTGTAAGAAACAGATAATGAATTAACTTGTTAATTTTGCACCAGCACAACAGGAAATAAGAAATGAAGTAGAATGATGCCCGACTTCCCTAATGTGGGGCTATTCACCTGTGTGACAACAGCTCTCATCATCCCTAGCCAGCATGAAAGGATGCCCAGCAATCTCTAGTCAAAGTCGTGGTGCTGCTATGCCAGTGGTCCTACAGTTTGTTCATCCTGCAACAGTTACTCACAATGCACACTCCAAGCTACATTGAGGAAGACAGGGAAAGCCCAGCTTACGCATGAGTGTTCAAAACAAAAGAAGACTGAATGGTAATTGTAGATGGAAAAGAAAAGCTAGCTGTGTTTGCTTCCATTTTTATAGGAACCTGCAAATATCAAGAACTGAATTGTGACTAACAGGAATATTCGACAGGATGAACGTAATACTCGTAAGGTTTTAGCAATTGGAAAAGGTTGACACGAATTTGGCATCTAGATTAAGTGAAGCCCTACAACACATCCGATTCCTGCCGAGGTTGCTCTGAAGCTTACAAAAAGCCAAACACGAGAAATTATGGTTGTGATTCTAAAGGCGTAGGTGGTGACTCAATCAAACAGTAAACATTTAAGGTTAATCATGGGATATCACACCAGAAGGCTGCTGCAGTGCACTGTGTCAGCAGAATGAAATTTGTTGCACGGTTGTGCAATCTTTCTGAAGAATAAAGGTGAGAACCCCACTTAGGATTCTAATGACTTCCATTTCAAGGTGTTTGAAAATTATTGTTCTCTTACCTTGCTTTATTATGTTTAGCGTACTCTCTGCTGGATGCATAATGGCCTTTGCCCTGTTTGTCAATCCCGGCTTGCCACCTTTGTACACTTAACCCGCTGTTACTCAGTACAGCTAACATCCCAATGCCCAGCACTCAGCGGTCAGCATTTGCTTATCGTTTCAACAACATAATCAGGAATAGTTAAACATTCACACACAATTGTGGGGCCATCTATGTGTTTCTGTGGAATATGTAAGAACACCCTCTTCCTATTTGTCATTATGTCAGATTACAGATGGAGAATGCCAGGTCTCCGTCCATCTGTACTGTTGCCATGATTCCAATTAATTTAGTCTTATCCAGACAGGATAGAAATACATGTGCATTTAGCTGAATGTACTACAGAAAATGTTTACTTCTGTGTTTTAAAAGGGAGAGAAAACATAGTATTGTCAACAGCATCTGACATTTCTCTCTTGGCCTGTTAAAGCTTCCCACATATCAGCACCCACCATATTTTTATCTTATTCTAACATAGACTGAGCCTTGTATGTGTTCTGTGTTTGTAGTTGTACAATTTAAAATGAGCAATGCATCAGCTGTGAAAAGATGCTAAGAATTATTTAACTCTGTTGAAGAATTATCAGTAAGAGAGTGCCTCACACATACATGAAGTAAACTTTCATTGACTTTTCTACACTGCATGTAACAGGTTCTGGAACTTGTTTTTCCTTTTTCACTCAGGTACTAAGTTTTATAGCATATTTCTCATTGGCTATCTAGTTTCTTGAGATTTCTCAGAGAACTACATGAAAATTGAATATAATGCAGTGAGATGGAAGATAACTCTACAAAATTAATAGTATTTCAATTCTAAATTACGAAGGCCACAGTGGTAAATATGCTAATAAATATGCCCTTAATAGAACCAGTGGACTTCTGAGCAAACATGAAAGGCGGGATTGTACTGACAGGTATTCAAGACTGTCATATATTGCTCTTATTTTCCATTAAATTCTCCCACAAACTACACAAGTTTTGTTGTATCCAGCTCCTAAACTGAGTATGTTCCTTTAGAAAAAAGAAAAATATTTCTTGTTTTTATGTGTTTTAAACATTACATGAAATTACATGAAAACTAGAAATGTCCATTTCCTCCTGGAAGTGGCTCAAGAGCTGTAATTTTGAAGGTTTAAACAAGGAAGGCAGTAATATGCACACTTACACCAAGATTTGCGGGGGGGGGGGGCAACACAATTACCAGTTACAACTACTAAGACTGTCTGATGTAAAGTGATGACCAAACATAGGTCTGGTATTTCAGAATAAGCAATGTTCCCAGAAGAAAAGAATGCCATATGTAAGTTTCAATGCGATTTAATTAGATTCATATAGGTTAATCCAACTGCATGTTAAAATCCTTAGTGAAATGTAAATAATTAACCATTTTCTTTCTGGATCCACTAAAATATGTACAAAAATCAAAGGGTCCAGTGTCAAGGTTCACGATCCATAGTTGTCAATCTGAAGCACGATATGCATGGATATGATTCTTTGTTATTGACATGCAACTTCAAAGAAAGATATGGACAGTAAATCCAAGTATGATTCCTAGGAAACAAGCCCCATTAGTGGCACTTTAGTGAACAGTTTTAGGATCAGGCTGTCAGTCAAGAGCAACTTACTCATAAGCAAATGCTTTTCAGCCTAATGTATTATCATCAGAAAAATTAAAGGATAAAACATTTAGGTCTTACAAACTCAAAAGATCTGAAATCTAATGAAAATTTGAACCCACCCCCCTGACCCACAGCAGCCAGTTTGAATTTTAAGTGGGCACTTGGAAGAATGGAACACTTCTTGAAGAAGTCTCAGATATACAGAAAAGGTATACACCTACCTCCATTTTCTGGTTTATTTTGAACGAAAATTCAGGATGCTCATCTCTGTGGCATAAGGGCTTCTATACCTAATCCTGCGCCAAAGTCTGATCTGTATGGCAGCTCAAAGCTAGTGCATCTGGTCTTGATTTCCCATTCCCCTGGCCTGCAGCTGCTACCTTGTTGAAGACATTCTATATTTTGACCAGAAGCCATTGTACTGCTCTGTTATTAAACAGAATGGGGCCAAACATTGTCTGTCTCTCTCAGACCTTAGCACACTAGTTCAACTGTGAGTGTACTGAAATGGCTTTGAAAACTACCTCCAGCAAATTTACCAGAGCATGCCAACTTTTTTCATATTGCCAGAATCCTGCATTCTAATTGACACCAGCCAAGAACATTGCTTGGAAAGAGTACAAGTGAACCCTTTTAATTATAAAAATGGCAACTCTCTTGCAGTGAAATTGGAGAGAAGGTGCTCTACATAAGGATTTTGAGTTAAGCTTAATGAAATCCAAGATGCAGGTTTCAGTTTAAGCACTTTTCAATTTTGGAAGCTTATTTAACAAAATGAAGCACAGCATTACAAATTCACAGTATTCTTTAGCTATAGACATAGTTCTGTGGTCAATTTATCATTTTTTCTAAGGAAGTTCACCCTGAAATTAGTTTATTGCTCACTAAACCTTCCCTGAATGGCCTAGTTTTCTCTCCAGAATAGTATGGCTTCAGTGCAGTAGTAAACATGATTGTTGTGGTTTTATTTTCATGCTAATCTTCACTATCCAACTATTCAGAACAATATCAAGTTTTGTGTTCTTAGTACTACAAAGTACTGTAGTTTAATTATGCAGAATGTTAGCTGATAAGAGAGCTCACACTTTCAAATTAAGGGATCAACCACACAAAAAAAGATTTACGTATGATCTTTACCAATTACACGGGGCTCAGACTACACATGATGATAACAGACCCAGGTTTAAAACGGGGGCATCTGCTGCCATTGCATGTTGAGTCTCAGTCTCAGCAAGGTGTCCTTGGCAGATCGAATTGCAGGCTGCAGGAATAAGACTGAGCAAAAGGTGTTGGAGACTTGATATGGAAGGAAAGTGACAAAGCAGCCAGGCAAAGGGTTACAGGGGAAATCAAGTGCAGATATGGATCAGCATAAAGGAACCGATGTCAAAGCTCTTGTGGAGAATGCTTATTTATGAAAGGACCAGGTAGTCTATTTGCACACCCTCTCATTGGAACTATAATTAGGTCCATGTGCTGCCCATTCTAAAACACCTTCGACAGAGAACAACCAACCAGTGGTAGCATTCGTTTTCCCTGCAGAAGCTTTCTTTCTTGGTGTTAGTCTGGCTTTCCCATGAACTAGAGATTTTCTCCACTTTAAAAATGTTTTTTTGGAAAAATAACCTCACAGTCTCTGGGGAAAAAATCCCCCTGAATGCAAGCACAATGACCTAATTCCATGGAATCTTCAAAGGATTCCACTGAAGCGTTCAAAGAAAGGGCCACCTCAAGTAGCAGTTGGTGGGACAACGTGCCAAACCTGGCTTCAAAACTCACCTGAGCTATTAATCGACCTGGGCATGCTTAACCCAACTGTCCAATGCTAAATGAATCAAGCACAAGATTAGGACCAATAACTTCCCTCCAAGACTCCATCAGGTGTGAATAGCAAGATACCCAGAGACGATCAACAACAGTGTTCTGCTACATCACTATCAAATGGCTATCCTACAGTATTACTGGTGAGCGCATGTCAAGCATTTTAATAAACCTTCACACATGTCAAAGGTCCTGGATATCTCCACTTAGCACAGCAGGGCTGGACGTGACAGGAACTTTATTCGTTTCCACAAAAACCGACTCAAAGGCAGCTTCTTGCTCTTCCAATGTGTCACTGGTCGTGGCTCCTTGAACCAAAGTGAGATTGGTGTTTTTTGGCTGTTGCTCTGTAACCTTCTCCACCTCTATGGTTCTCTTCCCTTTTCTTTTGCCAAGTATTCGGACATGATTAGCTGGGACAAGTCCCGTTGTCTGGCCATCACGACTGGCCAAAAGCCAGCCACGTATTTTGGGTTGTTGTTCTGGTAGGAGAAAACAAACTTGCGGTTAATCAAGAGAGCTTATACACATTGAGCTGTCAAAGCATTTCAAACACTCCACAAAGTCTGGTTAGGTTAGATTTTGTGTGACCCTCCCAAGCTTTTGAAGACCTGAGTGAAAAAAGTCAATCTAAATCCTTGAGACAAAATGCTTAGAACAATAGTTAAATAAGCAAAATAAGGAGTATTTAAAATGTATGTTATTTATTTTGTGTACAGTGCTAAAAGTAGTACACATTGCATATTCACTGCCCTACATATACCTAAGTTGAGTGCATAAAGGACTCTTCGCAGGTCCACATGCTGCACTGAATTTCTTTATTTGAAGATTGGGGAAGAAACACGATGAACCAAAAACTTGTTACCTTTCGGTGCCAATTTTAGCATTTCACCCACACGGAAAGAAATTTCTTCTTCCGAAACAGCAGTGAAGTCATATTCTGCTCTCCCAACAACATGGTCATCTTCTCCGCTGGCCCAATTACTGGAAACTGTTCCAAACAACATGGAGTTAATGAGACGATGCAACCCTGCCTGTATCTTCTGGGCTCACCTAAGTGTTGCAAGTTTAAATATTTCGGCCTTGCAAATCACTAGCACCTTGCCCGCACCCCTGCAAAAACTGTGGGGACAAGCAGTGATTTCCAAACCTGACTCTGTGCTCCTCACTCAGCATTAGAACAATATGCCAATGCCAATGCTTAACTCAACCTATTAAAGCCATCCTATGATATGTATGGGCTTTGCTCCTTCAAAACCTTTCACCAGCATTGTATTTCTAGCACATCGCATACAAAATTGCTCCATTCAGGCTGCAAAGATTTTCCAGTCTCGGAGCACTCACATCTAATGTTTAAACCCTTGAACTGCAGTTTGTATTTCCTTTTTTTTTATCATAGTGGTATACTGAAGCAAGATCTGCTACACTTCCCAAAGTAGAGGCTGGGGAAGTAGGCCATCTAAACTTGCTCCTTTCCTTAATCCATCAGAAATCCTCAACAGGCAACAGATGTGATAAACCCGAGGAATGACTGCTGTGTTTAGATCTAGAAACCTGAGAGTGAGTTGAATACAAGAGACTGAGGCTGAAATTCTTACTCAGCCATGAAACTGACTTGACAGGTGAACTGCAGACTCCCAATCTATTCTTTCCTCTTTGCCCAGTCAAACAAAGTGCAATGCAATGGCATTTCCACTGCTACATTCCATGGAAACTCACCCTCATTGCAGGCAACCAAAAGGACAAAGGAGGAACTCGTGTTATGCTGCATTCCTAAAACAAATTCACTCTCTCGCTGAGAGGCTGAAACAAGCACCTAAGCTCTAGATGAAGAGCAACTGAGAAACTTAACATTTGATTTGAGGCAAATTATTCAGCATTTCTTTGTTATCCGTAACTCGAGCATTTGCATTTCCCTGTAGTTATTGTCTAAGGTTGCACAGAGATCCACAGGAATATTTGCATCATAGATCCGCTCAGGAACACAACTCACTCTTTTTTTCGTCCACCTTCAAGACTATCAAGCCAACCCGTATCACTAACCCCTCTCAGTTTCCTCTTGTCTTCCACACAGCCCACAGAGGCCAAACAGTTCAGTATGGTCCTTATTTTTTTCTCTATACACAGAAAAGCCACAGGTAGACAAACCCATGCATTTCTTCTTGGAGATATGCAGAGAGAGAAACCCTCATCCTCAAAGAGTGCAGACTGCCATGCAAAACCAGCATTTCCTATTTTAATCAGGTTTTGAAGTAGGATTGCAAACCCTGGTTAGCCTCAGTGCAGATGCAACAGGGTTGCAACAGATCAATGATTAAGGCTGAAAAGGAAAGGGCAGGAGAACTGAAGGGAATTCATGCCGGAAATGTGTGTTCCCAGGGCTGGCAAGGAGTCGATGTTCCATTGCGCCAGCACTTCTGAACAGCAGCCTGCTTGAGAATCAATGGCAAGCAAATTTTGCTGTCAGGGAACTGTTATTGAAAGTTACTTTAGTTAATTTAGTTCAATAATTAATAACACAGAGGCGAAGCATGAACACCTTGTTATTTTATTACATTTTCCTATAGAAGGAGAGCTGCTTATTTTTGAGTAATAATGATTATTTATTGTATTTGCATACTGCCCAATTGCCATGGCATTCAGGATGATTCAGAACAAAGATATCAACAAAGAGTCAGCTTTCCAAGACAGGAAATCTAATTTACCAAGAACTTCTGAAACACTTGCGGTACCTTTAGATTATCTTTGTTGCCCACCCACCCCAAATGCCACAGTCATTAAAGCCTGATTATGTTTTAGCATGCACTGGTGTTGCTGCACCGCACAGAAACCGAGACCAGGAAGCAATTACTGGATCACCTCCATCCCCGCAATCACAGATGCTGCTTTACCTGTTTCCTCATCTGTGTAGGTGGATAGTAACTTCCATATTAGGTAGGGCCCACCGAGAACAACAGCAAAGAACAGGAAGATGGGCCACGATTTTGCAGAATTGGTGGCCTTTTCTTCAGGACCAATGCGGGCCACAGTTCCTTGGCTTTCTGCCCACAGATCATCATTCTCAGAACTCTTTCTCATGCCCAGCAACCTCTGTAGCCGCCTGTAGAGGTACCGTATCGTTCGGACCAAAGCAAAAGCTGAAAACACCTTGGTGAAGTGTATTTTGAGCCGGGAAAAGTGATTTGCTACATCCAAAACAGCTCGGAAACTGTTGTAGACGGCCGAGAAGGTAGCGTCCATCATCATGCTGACAGAGGCAAAGGCATGGACAATGCTTTCGATGGACTGAAACGCCCCCCGGCTGCTTTCTTCTGCTTGCTGCACAAACCGGCTGGTGGGAACGTCATCCACCCGGAAACGGTTGTAGCCCAAGCTGCCGTACCCAAAACTGTAAGGGCTGTAGCTTCCGTAAAAGGAATTTCCATATCCGCCATAGCCTGAAGAAAAAGAGGTGCTGTAAGCGGGCCGGTAGGTATTTAGGGCAGTACTTCCTGTTTGCTGCGACAGCCTTGGCGGAATAGGAGGGGGCACTCGAGTCAGGGCGGGCTGTCCGGGTCTAGTTAACTGGTTGGCCCCCACATCAGCTGACCTGAAATTCAGAAGTCCATGATTAGCACTCAGGATAATTTTAATTTTTAAAATGATCCCACATACCATATTCCCCCAAACATAAATCACGATGGTGCCCTGTGTTCTTCTGAACTGGTTCTTGCTGCCAGCCCACAGAATAAAGTGCTGGACTTCATATGCAAAGATAATCTCATCCCATGCAGTAATTATTGTTGAAATCGACTACTGGAAAGCTCTTCTCTGTTTTTTTGATACAATAAGAAGGTGAATTCCAAGAAAATGCTAATATTTAATTATGACTGCAGACACCTGTGGGGGATGGGGGTGTCCAAAATAAGCACTGGGCACTAGTAACCTGTTGTGACTCAATCTTACGAGTGTAAAGCACTTCTTGTAAGACAATTGCAAGGAATTTAGAAAAGTTTACTGCCCTGAATGCCTGAAGGGTGACATTTCAGAACAGAAACCTCGAAGTATCATGAGCTTTGGCTGTAAACCTATGCAACAGAGGCAGCAAAATTCCGGAAGGGTAGTTGTGTTAGTCTGTTGCAGCAAAAACAGCAGAGAGAAAAGCTTATGCATTTGTGGAACAGAGTCTACGTCAACGCTCAGCTGGCAGAGAGCTTCACCCATGGGGTGGTATAGAAAGGAACTAAACATAAATAAACCCAATCTGTATTTTCCCATTTTGTCAATAAGGATATTATGGGGAACCTTGTCAACTGCTTTGATGAAATCAAGACATACTGGGTAGGTTTGCATGATCATGGAAGAAAAGTAAGTCTCTGTGACCATGGGAACCTGCCCCATATATCTGCTTAACTATCACTTCCAACAAGCCCTAAATAAATTCTCTCTCTCTCTCTCTCTCTCCCCCTCCCTCCTTCCGTCCTTCCTTCCTTCCTTCCTTTTTCTGTCTGTCTGTCTTCCTCTCTCCCTCTCTCCCTTCCTTCCTTCCTTTAAAGCTTTTGCATGCCGTCCTATTATACAAGATCACAGGATGGCTTACAATATTTAAAAAGACAATTAAAACAACAATTTCAATCAATAATAAAACAGAAAACAAATCACAAAACAAACAGAGCGACTAAACTTAAAAACTACTGAAGTTTAAAAGACTGTTCAAATAAAGAGGTTTTGGCCTGGCGTCGAAAAGAGTATAAACTTGGTGCCAGGCATACCAAATGAATATTCTGGTCTAACACGTTGCCTAGTATCACCACCAGGTTACTTGGTCTGCAGTAGCCTAGATCCATGCTTTTCCCCTGCTTGAAGATGGAAAGCAGAGCTTTTGCTTGCTTTCAGTCTTTTGGAATCTTATTCATGTGAGAATTCTGGAAGAATTCTCAGCCAACAGCTCTAAAATGTCTCTCAGCAGCTGGGGGTACAATTAACCTGGCCCTGGAGATCTGAATTCATTTTGCAATTGTCTTACCTATCCTAGATTCAATTCCCTCTTTACATAATTTGTTCCAGTTGTCCCAGGTTGAACACAGCTTCCCTTGAGAATAAAGAGGATCTGAGTAGCTCTTTGATCTCTCTATAACCTCTTAAGGTTTCACCATACTCCTTAAGCAGTGGCCCCATCAGTACGTTGTTGCTCTTGCTCCAAACAGAGCTAAAGAAGCATTTTTGTTCCAAATATTAGCTAATTTATTATTTTACTTCTTTATTGCTGTTACCAAAGCCCAAGTTCTCTGAGTGGTGTACGATATATTAAAAATATAAAGTGTAAACAATGAAACCACGAATAAAAGCAGCACATAAACTAAGGTAAAACCATCAGCAAAAGGTAAAAAGATTACAGCACATAAAAATAGTAAATGAAAGTGTTAAGATCTGACACTGAAAAGACCCTTCTGGAGGTAACATATAAGCCACAAGATGGTTTTTAACTTGTGAATTAGTCCTATTGAGCTCATAATACATCCAAAATAAATATGCACAGGCTTGGGTTGTTTAATAGCTTTGATATCACAAAGGATCTTCAGGTTAAAGGGTAGAGTCACAACTACAGATGAGTAAATTCACAGACGATACCAAAGTGGGGGCAGTGGCCACAACTGAGGAGCAGGTGATCCAGAGCCAGAAGGATCTGAACAACCTTTGGAAGTGGACAGAGAACAACGGGTTGGCATTCAATGTGGATAAGTGCAAGGTCTTGCACTTGAGACACAAGAATAAGTGTTGCAGGTGCAAGTTGGGGGACAAGTGGCTGGAGAGCAGCACTTGGGAAAGGGATCTCGGGGTACTTGTTGACAGCAGGCTGAACATGAGCCAGCAGTGTGACATGACAATTAAGAAGGCAAATGCCACCCTTGGATGGATGGCCAGAAGCTTGGCTTCCAGATCTAGGGAGGTGTCGCTGCCATTCTACATGGCTCTGGTGCACCCACAGCTGGAGCACTGTGTCCAGTTCTGGGCTCCAGATTATAGGAGAGACATAGCTAGGTTAGAATCAGTTCTGCACAGGGTCACAAGAATGGTAGCCGGGTTGGAGGGATGACATGAGGAGAGATTGAGGGAACGGGGTCTTTCCAGCCTGGAGGAGACTCTGAGGGGATCTTTTAGCGACTTATAGGTATGTGAGGGGATGCCATGCGGAGGAGGGCCGTGTCCTGTTCTTCCATGCGGTGCAGGGCAGGATGCGTTCCAACAGGGCAAAGCTCAAGGAACCAGGATTCAGGCTGGATGTCAGGACGTGTTTCCTGATGGTTAGGACCCCTAGAATACGGAATAAGCTTCCAAGGGAGGTGGTTGAGGCCCCATCAGTGAGGGTGCTCAAGGAAGGACTGGACAACCACACATTGTGGACTACAGGAGTGGAGCCGGCTGCAGCCAGGGCACAGACCAGATGGCCGGGGAGGCCCCTTCTGACTCGCTTTTTTTCTATGTTTCAGATCATGGGCTGACTGTGTAATTAATTGATTGACAACGTTTTGATCCTTGCAGAATATACCTCGTACCTCAAACCAAAACTGAAACAAGCACTTTGGAAAGGCCATCAAAAGGACCTTGACTTTTGGAAGAAAAAAAAAATTCAACACCTCGGAAATGTATAATTCAAGTAATTTTTTAAAACTATTTTTGTTCTTTTTCTTGTTTGCTTTGTTTGCACACCTTTCTCTGGCCACTTTCCTGCTAATGGTTCAGCTGTCAAAGGGGGTTCCAAAGTGGAGCACAAAATGTGCAAGGAAACTGACATGGCAAGGCTGCACATGGGCTAATTTGCTCAAAGTTGTGAAGGACTAGGAGAGAAAAAGGAGGGATGCGGTGGCACAATTTAGAAGCACCAAACCTGGATGGAAGGGGCGAAGAGCAGCAAAGGAGTACGTGCACCAAAAGTGGAGAAGCCATTCTTTCCCCTTTGGCAATGGGATTCCTACTTCTTTCAAGGGATGAACTGACATTTCTCAGTGCCTTCTGCTTTTTCAACACTACTCCAATGCTCCAGCTACTCCAAAAAGGAAAGATACTAACTCCTCCCCACACTTCTGCTGTAGCAGGACCTGCAGCAGGTTTTCAGTTTGTTTCAAGTGTCCAGAAAACTTATGACTCAGTTTCTTCTCAGTTACTAGCCTGTGTGGAATAGCTTCCTAATTCGCAGAGCTACAAACCATCTCTGACTATCAGGCAGTTAAAGCCTCCAGGAAGTCCAAATGTGACTTATGTGGCTATCAACTTACATTTCCAAAAAAAGTGCCCTTCTAGTCTGATCTGATGCACTTCTATGGAAGTTAAGTCCTACCAAATGTCGAGGTTAACTAAAGACAGGATTGTACGCTTCACATTATGCAACCTTAATTACCCAGGGAACACAGGTATGGAGTAATGGTAACCACCCTGGAGCTCTTCCCCTCCACACCCATTTTGACAGGAAAGGTGGGAGAGATGGAAGGAGAAAAGAGGTCCAACCAGTGACAGAAACTGCAGCAGGGTGCAAACAACAGCTGGTTGTCATGCATTTATGCGCCAAGAACCATCCCTGGCTTGAGAGGCACTTGGCCAAGCAAAAGCTGAAACAGTCAGGAGATGAAGAACTTGTGGTGTTGTGGACATGCTGGTCATTTGGGAGACAGGCAGGTCAAAATTAATCCCCCGTGGCAGCGGCATCGGAGGACACTGCACCCACTCTCCTCTGTAAAGCATGTGCTACTTTGGAAGTCTATCATTTTTTAGTACTGGCCAAGGGAAGCCTTTGAGTTTCCCCAAATTACACGCAGCTTTTGACTCCCCATCGCAACAGTGTCGCAAACACACACTTCTCTCCCCACTGCCTGCTCTGCCATGTACATGTCAAAAAGAAAAGTGGGACTGGAGATCTTTTGACCATGCCTGCTTCGGCCTGCCAAAGTTAAGGAAGGGGCTCACTCTCTCACGTGGGTGCCAGGAGGTGGGGAGCCAAGGAGGAGAAGGGTGGCTTTTTCCTGCTTACTGAACCCAAGGCGGACTAAACGGTGCTTCTCCACTCCATTTCATCCTCACAATAACCCTGTGAGGTAGAATAGGCTGAGTGACTAGCCCAAAGTCACTGGGAACTTCGCGTCCGGGTGGGGACTCCCTCCAGCTGCAGTCCTACATTCTCCCCACTGCACTGTAAGGCACCCATATCTGGAGGGGTTGAATAAAACTCGGGAGGACCATGAAGCAGCGGCTCCTTCGTGATCGCGGGCCTGAGCCCCGGAACCTTCGCCCCCTCTGGCAGCCTTCTGCAACCTGTAGCCCGCCGGAGGCGCTGGACTACAATCCCACACGCCCCTGGCTGGCCGTGGGGATTCCGGGAGCGCCAGTCGAGCCCGTCCTGGAGGGCTCCAGCTGGGGAAGGCTCCCGCACGCTCGCTCCAGAGCGCCTCGCAGGAGGGCTCTCTGAGCATGAGCAGAGAGCCGCTACGGAGCCGTGCCCAAACCGTGCGGGAGCCCCGGGATCTATGTGAAAGAACGGCCTGACTCAGCTCGAGAGAAGGCAGCGGCAACCCCCCGGGCACTCACAGTCGCCGGCTCTCCCAGGGCTTCGGGGGCGGCGGTTGGTTGCCCGCCATCGTCGCGGCGCCTCCGCGGTTCTGCTGCCGCCGCCTGCCCAGGCGAGCGCCAAGCGGCGGGCCGAGCCGAGCCGAGCCGACCCAGCCCCGCGCGCCGCGCGCCGAGCGCATCGATCAGCAGCCCACGTGCCCCTCGCCGCCTCCAAAGAGACTTGCGACCGAGCCTTCCACGCACACACCTCTCCTCTGGGTTCCAAGCCAAGCAGCGCATGCTCGTTTATAAGCACGTGTCATCGATGCTCCCCGCCTTTCCTGTGAGGAACTCGAGGCGGCTCCCACAGTCCTCGCCTCCTCCATTTTCTCCCCACAACAGCCCTGGCGCCGAGAGTCTGTGCTTGGTGCAAATCTAGCCAAAGGCCGTCGTTTGTTTGCTTGGTATATTTATAGCCTACTCTTTTTTTTCCTTTCAAGGCTTACATAATTCTCCTGCTCCTCTCCATCATATTCTCACAACAACACTGTGAGGTAGGCTGGGCTGAGAGTCTTGACTAGCCGAAAGTCATCCGGTGAGCTTTATGGCCGAGTCGGGGCTAGCATGCGGATCTCACTAATCCCAGCCCAATATATATCTGTGCTAGAGAACTGACCTAAGTTGGATCAGCCTTGGTTCATCTAGCCCAATATTGTCAGCACTGCCTGGCGGCGGCGGCGACAGCAGCTCTCCGGGAATTCCAGCAAGATTCTTTCCTGGCCCAACCTGAACTCGAGCCTTTTCCTCCAGAACACGTATTCCAAAATCTGTTTCGGCGTAATGCCTGCCCCCCTTTTTCGGCAACTCAAAGCGCACTCAAAATGTGCACATTTAGATTGGAGGAATAACGGTGCATTCAAGCAGAGAAAGGGACGTTGTCCATCGCCCAGATGTTGGCTGCAACCTCCCTTTAGCCCCTTGTGGATGTTGAAGAATGAAAGAAATCACAGCCTCAGGGCTTCTTATGGGCCACAGATACAAGCCTTTCTGCTAACTGGCTTGCACTCTTAATGCTCACCGAAGTCCTGACTACTTCCTTTTCCGGGCCACTTAAAGTTTATCACGTATCAGTTTCCTGCAGTCACGAAAGGTGTTATCCTATGCATGTTTAGGCAGGGGATGGAGGAACACTTACATTTATTTATTTATTTATTTATTTATGTATTTAGGAAGCTTCTATGTCACCCCATTTGCTGAAGCAGCTCTATTTTGAACCAATTGAAGTATCCAGACCGTCTTCAAGGGCAGCCCCACGTAGAGAGCGTTACAGAAGTCTAGTCGGGAAGTTACCAATGCGTGTGTCACTGTTGCTAGGCAGTCGCTCTCCAAGTAGGGATGCAGCTGATGGATCAGCCGAAGCTGAAAGAAAGAGCTCCTCGCCACTGCTGTCACCTGAGCTTCCAGTGAAAGCCCGATCCGCCTACCAACAAGACCTCCATCTTGTCTGGATTGAGCTTCAGTTTATTGGCCCTCATCCAGCCCATTACCTCAGCCAGGCACCGGTTCAGCACAGCCACTGCCTCACCTGGATTGATAGAAAATGAGAGGTAGTGCTGGGTATCATCAGTGTACTGATGATTCCGCAGCCCACACCTCCTGATGACCTCCCCCAGTGGTTTCATGTAGATGTTAAATAGCAAAGGGGACAAAATGGACCCCTGCGGAACTCCATGGCATAACTGCCATGGGGCAGAGCCATAGTCCCCCAGCACCACCTTCTGAAATCGGCCATTGAGATAGGAGCGGAACCACTGCAAAGCAGTGCCTCCGACCCCCAATCCCGCAAGCCTATCCAGAAGGATACCATGGTTGATGGTATCAAAAGCCGCTGAGAGGTCCAGGAGAACCAACAGGGATGCACTCCCCGTCTTTTTCCCTGCACAGGTCATCGTACAGGGCGACCAAGGCAAATTCAGTACCGTACCGGGTCTGAAGCCGAACTGAAATGGGTCCAGATAATCATTTTCATCCAAGAGTGCTTGGAGTTGTCCTGCCACCACCCGCTCCAACACCTTGCCCAAAAATGGGATGTTGGCCACTGGTCTATAATTAGTGGCCATCTCTGGATCCAGGGAAGCCTTCTTCAGGACCGTTGGACTACCACCTCCTTTAAAGGGGCAGGCACCCGATCCTCCCTCAGAGAAGCGTTAACCACTTCCAAGATCCAGGTCCCTATCCCGTGCTTGGCGTTGTTAACTAGCCAAGATGGGCAAGGGTCCATTAGGCAAGTGGTGGGATGTACTCGTCCAAGCACCTTGTCCACATCATCAGGCCACAGTAACTGAAACTCATCCATCAATTTTGGACCAGACGGCAACATTGGTATCTCCCCAGAAGCCTCTGGGTCACTAGTGGAGCCCAACTCGTGACAAAGCTGAGTGATTTTCTCCCTAAAATGCTTGACAAAGTCAGCACAGCAGGCCTTCGAGGGTGGAACCAGATCTTTCTTAGGGCCAGGACGGACCAGCCCTTGTACCACCCGAAAAAGCTCCACTGGCGGTATTGTGAGAAGGCAATGGAAATGGAGAATTTCTTTTTTGCCGCCCTCACCACCACAGCATAGGCCCGATAATGGGCTCTTAAGTGTGTTCGGTCGGATTCATCCCGTGATCTCCTCCACCTATGCTCTAGACGTATCCCAACCCACTTCATCGCCCTCAATTCAGGAGTATACCAAGGGGAAGAGCGGGCTCTGCCCGGTGGGAGAGGACGCTTGGGAGTGATCGTGTCAATAGCCCTGGTCATTTCCCCATTCCATAGTTCGACCAGGGCATTGACAGGAGCACCAGTCTTGTCAGCCGGAAACTCCCCCAGGGCCTTCAGGAATCCATCTGGATCCATCCGGCTCCGGGGGCGGACCCACACAATCGGGTCCGCACCCTTGCAGAGGGAGAGGTCGCTCTCAAGCACAAACCTCACGAGGAAGTGATCTGACCATGACAGGGATGTCAGACACAATTCCTCACCCTCAGACCACCCTCTTCCTGTCCCGTTGAGAAAACCAGGTCCAGAGTGTGTCCACGTTCATGGGTCGGGCCGGTGACGTGTTGAGACAGCCCCATGGCCGCCATGGAGGCCATGAAGTCCTGAGCTGCCCCAGTCAGACCAGTCTCGGCATGGAGATTGAAGTCCCTCAGGACCAACATCCTGGGGGTCCTCAACACCAGGTCCGAGATGATCTCCATCAGCTTATAAGTCCTAGCCTTCCTCAGGTAGCCAAAAAAAAAAAAAAAAAAAAAATCTTTAAGGGTGCAATCCTGAAAAAAAGTCCTGTGCCTGTTTAGACAGAAAAACTATTCGGATTCTCAGCCTGATCTACCTCATAGGGCCGTTGTGAAGATTCCTCTGCTTGGGGGATGCCGGGAGTTATCTCTTTTTTTCTGTCATTGAAACCCCATTGTCTTCCGCAACAACGAGCAACTTGCAGCACAATTCTGAGTGTTTAGGATATTTTAAAAAACGTACAACTCCCAGCATGGCTTCTTTTCTGTTTAAACTGGTATAGAGTTGCACTCGTACAGCACGTTCCTAAAGTAGCAATAAAATGGAAAGGTTTCAAAGCAGGGCAACGACAAGACTGAAAAAAGAAACGCCGTTTTCTCCCTTCCCAAGGGGGATGCCTGCCTGCGGCCCTCCCTCAACACGTGGTGAGCTCCCGCAACGTTGCCCCCGGAGGTATCGTTTTCCAATGTCAAGGGAACCGGACGTATCTGTCCAAACTAAGAAGGCTGCAGCTCTTTGACTAACTCGGTCGCGTAGCTGGAGTCAGAAGATCTGTTTCCGTTCCAGCACCGGAAGCAAGGGCGGAAGAGGAAGTGGCTGAGGACCTGGGGTGCAGCGGGTTAAGGGTCCCCCTCATAGTCCTTTCTACCTATTGGCAAGTTGAGGAGGTAGGCGAGCTGGGGAAGAGATCGGCTTTTTAGTTTGGGGACGGGCGTCTGTGGGTCGTCTGGGTGGCACGAGTCCTTTTGGCAAGGTGTGGGGGGAGAAAAACGAGTCATCTGCTTGGGTTTCCTCGGAAGTAAATTCCATTGACTCCTAGGAGGCGCCTTCCTTGGAACGGCGCCGCGTCGTGGATCCTGGCCATTCAAATAGGCTGGTTTCATGCACTTCATCAGTGGGGACACGCGTCACAGGCATGCATGCTCCACACGCGCACACAAATCCTCGTGAACGAGTCAGTCCTGCGCTCTTAAGGGGAAACAAGGAGGTCCTAAGATCAAATCAAGCCAGAACTGGCCCTAGAAGAAGAATGACGAAACCGAGGCTGTCGGACTTCGGACTCCTCATGAGAAAGGAAGACTCTTCGGAGAAGACAGTCATGCTAGGGAAAGTGCAAGGCAGAAGACGAAGAGAAAGACCACCTATGAGATGGATTGACTCCGTAAAGACAATCGCATCCTCGAGTTTGCAAGAGCTGAGCAGGGCTGTCAAGGACTGGACACTGTGGAGGGCTTTCATTCATAGGGTTGCCATCAGTCAGAGACAACCTGCTGGTGCACAGCAACAGCAATGGGAAAGGTGTGGCAAAAGGGAAAGAGAGTTGTTGGGTTCCCTTTCCGGAGGGGCAGCTTTGGGAGTCTGTGGGAACAAAATGTATCCAAAGTTTTGTGGCATCTTAAAGGTCAGCACATTTATTTTGGTGTATGTCAAAAGGTTTTTGTGTTTTTAACTCACGCTGCCCAGTTGTAGGACTTTTCTCTCTAAATTTGCATAGGATTGCATCCTGCATCTGTTAATTGGCTCCCTCTTGTGGTGATGTCTGTGTTATCACATTTTAAAATTATATTTTAAAAATATTTAAATATTTTTATTGCGATACCAAAGGCTCAGAACCACACTTGTAATATTATTAATAAGCAGTTTTAATCCTCTCAGTTAGACTATTATCTCCAAATTTCAGGGGAAGATCATTTGAGAGATTGTGCTTATTTAAGACCAGCTCAAAAATTTTTTCTAGCGGTGAAATAGAAATCAGGGATTTCCTAATTTGTAGTTCATTTTCCAGTGCTGCACTCCTTAAATGGGTTTGTTCAAAAGAAAATCCTGGTAAATCAATGATCCATACTCCCCATAAGGCTGCAATCCAATTTACATTTACATGAGAGTAAGCTCTACTGAACTCAATGAAATTTATTTCTGAGTAGGATTGCACTGTCAGTGTGTTTAGGACTGTATTCTGGTATGTTCGGGGGAAAAATGTAGATCTGTTTGTTTCTGTTGTTCCTATGTAACAAGGTCAGATCCTGTTTTCTAATACTTGGCTGTGGCAAAGCACTGTCTCTATTTTGCCTTTTGGTGAGAAATTTAAAAAAAAAAAAAAACATTCATTTGTGACCTTTAGTAGGGGGCCTGCTTTCCGAGGCCTCATTCACAGACACACACAGAAGAATTTCATTTCTGGAAGTTTAACAATCCGCCCTGCTTCAAAAGCCATGCAAGGTTCGGTTATCTCTGGACAAGGTGTTTCACCAGCATCTTCTTATAGGAAATGTTGAAGAGCTTCTCAGATCTGTGATTCAGAATGCACAAAGCTTTGAAATGAACCCCCCTCCTCCAGTAGTGCAGGAACACAGTGTATGGTAGCACATATCAACTCTTGATCACATGCCACAATTTCTTTCTTACACACAGTAATTTTGTGAGAAATAGGCAAGGGTTATGCTTCCCAGAATGAAGCATGTTGAAGTTTTTAGCCCACAGGCTGCACTGGGTAGTGCCAGAGGACTGCATGTGTTGAGCTGCACATACATGCATGCATTTGTGCACAAGTGCACACACAAGTGTGTGCCTGGGCACCTCCTCCCTGGCACTAAAAAGGGAATTACTTCCCTTCCGTCTCCAAACTCTCATCATAACCCTAGGCAGTTCCACTGTGATAGATGCGGAGGACTGAGGTCTGGTGAATTGCCAGAAATGGGTTGTTGGGCCTCATTTTTTACCTTAAATGTGCCGTGGTTCCTCACGAGAAAATGGTTCCATGCCTGGGATCATATGTGTTGCTTTTTCTGAATGTTCTCTCATTTTACTGTGCCTCTTTTGAACGTGCATGTTGATGCATTTTCCTTGATCCTTCTCCCCAGCTGCAATAGCAGTTCTGAAGGTTGCTTTACTTTTCAAATACAGGCTTCATCAGCATGATTGCACTGGCAGAAAGTGACAGACCTGTTGCTCAGGTGTTAAAGAATTTTGGAGCATGCCCACGCTGTGTTCTGCGGTTCTGCCGTGTGGGGCAACAGGCTTTGTACAGGCAGCCCCATAAGGTTTGGTTAACTAAGCTATCTTGATGGTGAAGAGGGAGTGGTATTAATCTTTGTTCAGACCCGTTCAACTTTCATTTCAAAGTGAAGGGGATATTGTTTAAAGAATGTAAGACTTCTTTAGAGTCAGAGAGTATAGGGCCCAAAAGAAATTAGCCAGGGGGGCAGAGAGCTGAGTGCCAGCACAACCTTATATGCTGGGGATTTGAATATGAAGTTGGTGGTTGGGGGGCGGGGTTGGGGGGAGAGAACGCAGGTGTGAGATGCATGGGTGGAAATGTACCTGACAAGATGCAGCACAAGGTAATGCCTTAGCTGAACATCAGGAAACCCAGAGACATCTGGATATCTGCTCTGGCTGCCAGTTGCTTTCCGGGGCCTCAAGGGTGGATCTTTCCCAGCCTTTCTGCTGGAGACCTTATTAAAGGTACAGAGGTGAATCCCAGTAAAGATGAACTTGGGACCAAAGGCATGTGCTCAGCCACTAAGCTGTGGCCCTCTGTGAACTTGCTATATTCTTGCTCTCTCTGTGTCTCCTACCTGCTCTCGCATCCCCTCCTTACCTCCCTTTTGTTTTCATCTCCCTAGAGGTGCAAACCACTCCCTGGCCTGTTCTCTGATGGAGAATGCATTCCCTAAAGTTTCTCACTCCCAGTGCCATCGCCGCAATCCGCTCCAGTCTGATGCTATACATGTTTGTCCAAGCTAAACCATCACAGAGTTCAGAGAGGGGCACTCTTACCCAAGCATGCAGAAGGCTGCAACCTTAATCCTGCCTTCTCATTGCTTAGCGGATCAGCCTTATTTTGCAAGGCTGCAGACTGCCTAACGTTGCTCCCTGTTGAAGGACAGGTCTGGGATTGCAGAGCCTGTAGCTCTCAGTGCAGGGCACCTATTAGTGGTGACGTAGGCACCTCATCCCAAGAAGTAGCCACACGTGGCATCCCTTCAGCTTCCGAGCTTCAGAGGTTTACTCTGTTCTTTGTCCATCAGGAGTTGCTTGCTGAGCTGTGCAAGTTCCTGGAGAGCAATAAAGATGAGGACAACCCATCTTGTGAAACAGAAACGCCACCGTCCAAAAGAATCAAGCTGGGGAGAATGGAAGAGGCTGAAGAGCAGACCCCAAATGGAAGCCATCTGTTGGAGGTTGGAGCGGGAACGGCTGCCGAGGGCTTGGAGACAGCTGTGTGCTGCGTGTGCTTGGGGATTTTGCAGCAGCTCTGTGAGGTGGATTTTGTCAAAGCAGTAAGTGTCATCTGAGTGGTGGCCTTATGTGTCGTTTCAATGTAGGAAAACGGCTGGTAGCATCTTACATGCACGTACATATCTATAGCACTGGGCCAGGCACCTGATTCTGCTCAAGAGCCAGATTCCACTGTGCAGAAGCTTTCAGGGGTCCCATTCTACTGGTAAGTGGAGCCAGAGGCAGAAGCAGCAGTGCCCCGAATATGGCAGCTTCAAGCTTTAACAGAGTCTTCGGAGAGGCATTTCAGCCTTTCCAGATGGAGAAGAAGAGCCCAAAGCTGTAAAAGTGCCAAATGATGCGTGGTCAGAGGAGAGTGAGGGTGGCGTCAGGGCAGCCCCAGAGGGTGACGTCTGGCCCATGGGCCTGATGTTGTCCACTCCTGAAATAGGGTCACACTGGATTTTGTGCTGAGGATTTATCTTTGGCCGTGGTCCTACGTGACCTGCCTGGTCATGAGTCCTGGTGAACCTGCTTTACACAGTGGGATGAATTTTCAGATGGGGCACATGTTTCTGTCTGAGTGCTGCAAGCTCTTCTTTGGGTGCTGCCCCCCACAAAAGTTCTGTGCGGGGTGATGAGGGAAGGAGCCTCCCGTGTGTGTAACGCCCGTCAGAGAGGTCTTCCTCACACCTTTGCTCTATGTCAGTGGTCCTCGAACTTTTTCAGTGGGGGCCAGTTGAGGCGGGGGTGCCTGGGGGTGTGGGCCGGTGAGGTGCTGTTGGGCGCGTGCGAGGTGGCATCGGGCGTGTGCAACAGTGGCTCGCTCGCTTGGAGATCTCCCAGCGAGTCCAAAACCATCTCCGAGCGAGCAAGTCACCACCTCCCTGCCTGTGCTGCAAGGCAGCGGCGAGCGCCTGCGTATGGGAGGCAGGCAGCGGAGGTGGCAGCTTGCTCGCTTAGGAACCTTCTCTGAGTGAGCAAGCCGCTGCCTCCCCACCTGCGCAGCAAGCGCACGCGTGTGCGACAAACGGCGGCGTGGGCCGGATCTGTCCCGCGGGCTGTAGTTTGAGGACCCATGCTCCATATGTTTAGATGCCAGGGTAAAACCTCTTCCAGAAATCTGTTTTTTAATCTGCTTTGCTGATTATTAATGTTACCACTGACTCCTTACTTTTTAAAGGTGTTAATATTTTTACTGCTGAATTTATTGGCTTGGCTCTTATTTATGGACTTGGGTGTCCTCAGGGGTGGGAAGCTGCACAAGGGCCAGCTTGCTGCCTTACATTCATTCAGCACTCAACGTACGGGCGCTCTGTACGGTGGAGCAGGCCTCTCCTCTTTGCTCCCTTTCCATTCCCACTTCTTAGGTTCGGTTTGACTCAGTTCTGCACCAACATAGGCATTTTATTTTTAAAACTGTGGAAATGTATCTGCGTTTCAGGTTGTGCTCACATTATATATACTTTCGGGCACACTTATCCCAAGTGAAGGCATTGTTGGCCCTTAAGATCATCCGCAGAAGTCCTTCTTTCAGGACTACTAGCCTTGCTGGCCGTGTGCTTCTTCCTTCGCCAGAGGTGGCCTGCTTGCATATGGCATTGGCTGAGGGGCTGGGCAGGAGGAGGCCTTGCACCCGTCCTGCAGGAGGGATCCTGTGGGCAGCTGGCTTGCCAGCGTGTATACGGAGAGCTGGACTGGATGGACCTTGGATCAGACCCAGCGGAGCTGTTCTTACGACAGCTGCCTTCTGATGCAACCAGGGATCTCTGCTTTGAGACTATGGAACTTGCTCCCAAGGGAGGCTAAGTTTGCTCTATTGCCGGTACCCTTCCCTTGGCTGTCAAAACCCATTGTATTAAAGATTAGCCTGAAAGTGTGTGTTGTGGGTTTCATGCTAGTTTTATAATATTTTTCCTATAGTTGTTAATGTTTTTATTGCATTTTGATGCATTGTTTTAATCAACTTTAGCTGGTTTTGTAAGTTGCCTTGAGTGACGTTCTTTTGGTAGAAAGGAAGGATACAAACGGATAAAGAATGCATTCCGTGTATTTTCACTCTTGCACGACTTTTGCACGTGCATTTTTTCAAACGGAGGATTGTAGTGCTAAACTTGGGAAAGTGCATTTCAGTGGGCAGCTCTGTTTTGACTTGCCTCTTGCTTCAGCAGAAGCAAATTGGGAAAACTCGCGTAAGTGCTTAGACGGAACAAACTCCTCACTCTTTCCTATTGAGGCTTCAGGCACAAAAGATGCCAGAGAATCTGGCCCAGGAGGCATGGCTTCTGGGATCCCAAGGGACACCCCCTCCCCGTTTACCAGCTCGATGCCAGGGACCATGGACAGCACCCCTGTGGCTCGCATCTGCAGAGTCTCCCTCTTCCCCTCCTTGAGGTTGCAGCCCTAGCTGCTTAAAGCCTGCATCGTGACTCTTACTTGATATGATATTCTGTGGCCAGAATCATCACCTAGCCCAGAGGGAGATGGGCGTGTGCAGTTCCCTGATGCTGGTGATAGAGGCTTTTCAGTCGGCAAGGCCTGGCGTACATACTGGACGCAAGACTTTGGGCCTTTGCTTGGTCAGAAAAGTGGCATTTTGTTCCCTAGTCCCGTCTGGTCACGAGGAGGAACTAACATGGAGTTTCCTTCCGGCCTCTTTCCCAAGCCCCAGGAGCCTCCAAGCCAGGAGGCAGGGCTTGTGGGAAAGGGGAGGGGCCTGCAGAAGGGGCCCAAATTAGGCCTTCAGGCTGGAGACTCCCTGCCTGTGGCGTCCTACCTCCTGACTCATGGAGGGCAGATGCTTCTGAGGCTGAGTTCCCGTCCCTTTCCTCCCCTCCCTGTCATGCCTCAAGCCAGAGCCAAGTGTGCATTCTGCAACTGGAAGAGTTTATTTTTATTTAAACGTCATTTTGATTGTTAACAATATTACTTATTTATCTGGCCACGGTGACTTCTTTTCTTTTATAACTTTTCTTTTATAACTTCTTTTATATTGTTTATATTTTTTATTTATTTTTTATTATTAATTTTAATTTTATATTGTTATTTTTTGTATTGTATTGTATTTTATTGTGTTGTAAGCCGCCCTGAGGCTTCGGCAAGGGGCGGCATAGAAATGTTCTAATAATAATAACAACAACAACAACAACAACAACAACAACAGAGGGCGTGTTCCTTTGTTCCATGTCGGAAGACAGACAGAGGGGCACCATCATTCAAACCTGTTTGTACGCCTTCTTGTAAAGCTCTATGAAAGCTTTGTTTGTTGTTGTTTAGTCGCAAAGTTGTGCCCTACCCCATGGGCAGCATTGCTCCAGGCTCTTTGAGAACTTTGCTATCGTGGGATATAATGATTAAACATAGTTCCTTGTTTTTCAGGTGTGTCATAAGATTAACTCCTCGGAATATGAGTTTTCTAGCTTTGTGCTGTCAGTGTCTTTCCCACCCCAGCTTTCTGTCAGGGAGGTGAGTGGTCGTTGCTGCTTTTGATTCAGGGGTGGCTTTCAGGGTGAGAAGGCGTTGTTCCCCCAAATTACCCTGCCTTGGTGTATTAGGAAACATACTTTTCCAGGCTAGATACTAAGGCATGTGACCTCTGGCATGAGCTCAGCGATGCTTGGGTGGTGCTGAGTGTTGGGAGGCTAAGCAGGTTCTCCTTTCAGGCTGATTTGAAGCTTAGCTTTAGAACTGGAGGGGAAAAGGGGAGAATTTGGTGACATTTTCATCATCATCATCTCTATACCACCCATAGCCAGAGCTCTCTGGGTGGTTTACAACAATAGTCACAGAATCACACACTCAAGTTACTCCTCCAGATTCTAACCCAGCCTGACCCTACTTAGCTTCCAAGGTTAGGCAGGTTCAGGCACTTCAGGGTATATGAAAGCTGAAGATCCAACTGGAAGCTAAAGATCCAGTCTGCATCTGCAGATCCAATCTAGTTTATCTCTCATGATCTTGAAAGTAACTGATTATCTGTTAGGATTTTCTCAGGCAGGAATGGAGTAGAATGTTATACAGCCTTAATTTCATTTTCTCTTTTTCTGTTCCCCTCTCTCTGTCTTTTTTGTTCCTGAACTCATCCCTGAAGCATGCAGCCTGGCTGCTGGTGCAAGAGGAAATCGAGTGAGTATTTCTGGGCCACATGCTTCCATTTTGTCTGCTTGCTGGCTTCCAGATTAACATGGAAGTTGCTGCTTCTCCCTTCACCTCACACTCTCTCTGGGTGGGGTGTGATGTGAATTTCTGACTCCCAGGCATTCTTTCCTGCGGATTACGTGCCCGGTAATGGCTGTCTGCCTCCAGTAAGCACAAGGGCTCCAAGTGCAGGATCAGACCAAGGGTCCCTCTCAGCCAGTATTCTGCTCCCTGTGATAAAGCTACAAGTAGAACATGAGCAACCCTTTCATTCTTGCATGTTCCTCTTCCTAAGTAGCCGACTTGCGGTAGGATCCAGTCTGAGTCAGCTTGAGCAGGATGGGAAAAAACAGTGAGGGCAAATAGAGAAAGCCTCGGAAACCCTGAACTCCCGGTACCACATTGACAGCTGTCATGATGGTAAAGAGAGAGTCATCCGCTGCCCCACTCAGAACTCCCGGATCCCTCCAAGTTTAGTTTTAATCCTCCCAGTACTGGGAAGAGGGGTGGATTTTGCTCAGCGGCGAAATAATAGGGGTGAGCTATCGCTGTTGTCATGCAAATTTTTGGGGGGTGGCCTGCTCCTGAATGGACCATTGGGACTTGTTAACTTGACCAAGAGCTGCACCCAGTGGAAGTGGAAACTGCTGTAACTGGTTTGTTGACATGGATCAACCCAGTTGCCTGGATTTGGGGGCACGCGGGACACTGTCATGATGAGCATTCTTACGTGACAGTGTGTAAATCCCTAAATATTGGGATTCAAAGAGGGCTTTCTCAGTTATCAGCTTGCCCAGCCACGGAGGTCCTCAGGAGAGGCACTCTTGGTGCTTTTGCATGGACCTGTGGTCTGCTCGGGAGTCCATTCAAGAGTTGATTTCTGTGCTTTGGCTCCTTCTTTGTGGAACCCCCCACCTGTTGGCATGATACAGGCACTGAAGTGGCCTTTTTGGTGGTACTTGAAGACATTTCTTATTGAAATAACTTTCCCTCACTGACCAACCTTGGTTTTAGTCAAATTCTGTCTTCCGATCATTTTTCTTATTATTGTTCACTGCTCAGGGATCTTAGATAAGGAATTGTATATAAGTCTTGTAAAGATGGCTATCATTTGGCAACAGTTGCAACAGAAATAATATTGTGATATCGAAACACTTTGCTAACTCTGAAGTAGGATAGCATGGTAGCACAATTTTAGCCGATAATTCTAGTTACTCGCCTTCTTGTTCTATAATTAAATTAGGAAACAAGGCCTTTTGGTGGGAAAAGATGACCTTGTTCAGCTGAAAGAAGCCTACAAATGGATTATCCACCCCTTGTTCTTGGAGGAGCTGGGGGTCCCTGCTGATGGGAAGGTGTTGTATCAGTAAATGATTTGAATGGCGTCTGTTACAGGCTTTGCTCATCCTGTGTTTGGGCCGTGTACCAGTCAGCTGACATTCACATGTGAGGGAGATGCATGAACGCAGAAAGCGAGCACCCCTAGTGTCTCCCCGCTGGCGTGTGTGTCGTCCTTACGCAGGGAAATCTGTTTACCTTCAGTGCAACAAACTTCTCCCTACAGCTCTGAAGTGGTACAATCCTTCTGTAGGATCATGGCTTAATTAAAAAGTAAAGGAGGCTTTTCTTAAAGTATCCTCTGCTCGTTAGAGGGCAACCAAGGGCAAAGCCTTTCTGTTAATGGCTCTCTGTTCTTTTAATGGTTCCCCACGCGTGCGGCACCCTCCCTGGAGGAGCATGACTGGGGCCAAACTTGCAATTATTTTGGAGTCAGATCACAATAATTTTGCTTGTTTCGTATATTCAGTTCTCAGTCTGTCCTGCTGTATTTTTATCACCCTTTTACGATAGTATTTTCTTGGTTTTTTGTGGCTCTGTGACATTTTTGGTTCTATGTTGCCCACCATCGTTATCTCAAGATGGCTTTTGTTAGTATCCTAACAAAATGAGTTAGTACATTAAATTTGGCCACAGGTCAGTAAAACAAAAGGAAGAGATGTTCTCTTCTCCTTTAGCAGAAGGGAGTGATATAGTTAAAAAATTCAAAGCTGAAGTTTTTCACTGGGGAATATAAGGGTGGTTCTTTTCTATTGTATCAAGGTTCCTCTCGGCTTTCCCATTCGGTTGATCATATCTCAGGAACAAGCATGAACAAGCCTTTTGGCCATATACACAGCTGCAAGATGGCAAACAAACCAGAAAGCCCTCCATTTAACCACAGATTTATTTATTGCTTGCTTGCTTGCTTGCATTTATATACCACCCCAATAGCCCAAAGGGCTCTCCGGATGGTTTACAGACATTAAAACCCCAAGTACAATATCCAGTCCTAAACAAGATAAATTGGCTACACCACAACTGAGTATAAAATGACATGGTTAAAATGAATTAAATGAATAAATATACAATTAAAATTAATTAGCTTTAAAATATTCATCAAATAAAAAGGCCTGGACCTGGCGCCGAAAAGCATATAATGAGCTTTCTGTTTTGTCTGAACCTGGAAATTATGGTTCAGTACTTTAAAACAAGCCATGTTTAAATCATTGTTTTGTATCCTGGCTTGTTCCAAATTTGATAGGCATCGCTCCCATGAAGGGAGGAACAACGGGACTGTGTGTGTGTGCGCAAGGCCTGAACATGGCCAGTATTTGCTGCACAAAATTAATATATTTTATTTATTTATTTATTTATTAAAACATTTCTATGCTGCCCCTTGCCATCTGTGATAGATGCACATCTTCTAGCATCATTTGAACATCAGCTCTCTCTTGTGATTAGGTCAGCTGCAGTGGGACAGGCAACGCTTTAGGTGGGTGCATGGACTGCATTTGAAGCAACGGGAGGGGCTGTGTGTGTGTGTGTGTGTGTGTGTGTGTGTGTGTGTGTGTTACAATTTAAAAATACATTTTTCTCTCTTTGGCTGCAACTTAGAGCCTGTTTGAAGTGAGCATGGTTTTTGCTCATCCAGAAACAGACGAGGACTGCCGTTTCCTGTAAGTTGCTATTTGATGCATCAAGGTTTAGGCTGCATTCACAATGGCACAGGCAACCCTGCTGAAATGGCCGTGCCTGTCTCCTCTCGCTTCTGAGTGCTGCCCGTGGGGCCTCCATGGCCCTCACCAGATTATGCTAGTCGGCAGCGTGTTGGAGTCTCCAGTGGAGCGTGAGGTCGGCATGCGTATCCAGGCACTGCTGGCCCCCACCGACAGAAGGACGCTGCCACCACCTCTGCAGTCTTTCCCCAGAAGTGGGGCTGACATCACACACACGACGGTGCTGGTATGTTTGAGGCAAGCCTGTGGGCCAGATGATTCCATTCTCGCGCCAGCATGGCCGGCCTGCCGCCCACCATTTCCACATGACACTTGAACTGATCCAAGGTCTTGTAGCAATCAGTGCAGAATTTGCCAAATCCAGTCTATCTAGGTACTGCGATCAACATCTGGGGCCTTCCTCTGAGCGCTCCTTCCAGGGAAGGTTCAGAGGATGGCGCCAGGGGAGAGTGCCTTCTCCGTCATGAAGTTGCCTGGCACCCCCATGGTCGTCTTTTCTAACCTTAACAGTATGTAATAGCATATAATGGGACATTTGGGCTCACTGTGTCTTTAACATATCCATGATTTTTATATACATTATTTCTAGCTGTTTAGATTGGGTTTTTTGTATTTTGCATGCTGAAATTTACTATTATTATTACATTACATTTCTATATTGCCCATAGCCAAAGCTGTCTGGGCAGTTCGCAACATTTCTTTTTTTAATTAAATATTATTATTATTTTCTACAAGCTAAAAAAACCACCTAAAAACATCACTCATCAAAGACATCAGACCTACTGGGTCAGCCCCCCCATTTTTTTTCCATAGACATATTCAAATTTACGCATAGCCCTGTTTCTCTAGCCAATAATAAAAAGAGTTCCAAGTTCGATAGAAATATGTATCCTCTTTCTCCTTCAGAGACAAAGTCAGCCTGTCCATTTCAGCACAATCCAGAATCTTTTTTAAAATCAGTGCATCAGTGGGTGGTTCTTCACTCCTCCAATGTTGGGCAAATACAATCCTTGCCGCAGTGATTACATGTAGAATCTGCTTGTTTGTCAACATCATCAGACACAATAAAAAGATTTCAGGTTTAAATATTAAAGATTTTTGTAACATTTCCTCAAGCCATTTATGCATTTTACAATTTATGCATTTTACAATTTACATGTATGTAAATGTAACATTTCCTCAAGCCATTTATGTATTTTATAGTTTGCAATATTTCTTTGCCTTATCACAAGTCCAGCACACACGATAAAAAGTACCAGGTTTATGTTTGCATTTTGGCCGTTCGCAGCGTGTCAGTCGCCCATCCAACCAGGCCGGACCCTGCTTAGCTTCCAGGATCAGGCTGGACAGGCTAAATATATGGGTGTTCAACCCCAGCGGCCTGGTCCAGCGAACCTCACTTGGGATTTGCTGATGTCAGAGATGATGTCCAGTGCGTTGAATATTGTGCTGCAATATAGATGCAGAATATGAACAGATGAACGAAGGTTCGTGGTTCCATTCTCTGAGTAGGCCGGGGTTACCCCACAGGCCTCCAAAACGGCCTGGTGAACAGCATGTCATTTCTCCTTTCCAGGCCAAGAATGAAAGACACCGTCTCTGGATTCTTCACAGTTCTCTTTTTCTGTCCAGAAGCGGGATGGGCGGAATAGCCAGTCTGTCAGGAGGCACACAGGCCCCCGCTCCCCTTCCTGGGAATGAAGCTGCCTCAGTAACGCAAAAGGCATTGTTCCAGCAGCAGAAGCAGCCCTTCCCTACCGCACAGCTGTGGGAGGCAGCCTCCCCAGTGGCCTCTGGTGCTCTTCCTAACACGCTGAAGGCCATAAGGTCTCAGTGGGGCTTCAAGAAACTGCCCTGGTTTTTGGCACTTCATGCCGTACACAGACCGGACTTCAAGGGCTGAGATGAGCGTGATCTTTGAGGGTGAGATTTCAAGCAGGCCTAGAAGCGGAGCACATGCTCAGCATTCAAAAAGGTTCCAGGCCTTTCCAGATACAGCTGGGAAAAGTCTTGGCTGAAAGCCACTGCCTGTCCATGTAGACAACACAGGGCTTGATGGACCAAGGACTTAATTTTCCCTGTAGCAATTGCCTACTTTGCAAAGAAGCAAAAAACCATTGGCTGTCTGGACAGAAAAAGAAACCTGCTCAAGTACCTAGTCCTCTTGGAGGTTGCCCTTAAGAAAGTGTTCCGAGAGCAGGCCTTAATAGCATTGCTGCCTCTTTTTTCTTGGCCTAGGGGATGTTGTTTGACTCTTTTCTGTTGTTTTGTCTTCAGAGCCTCAGCTTGCCCAAGTTGCTTCAAACCAGCAAAGAACAAACAGGTAAGGCATTTCTGAAGCCTTCGTTCCTCCACTGGCAAACTTTTTCTTCATCTTAATCCATGCAAATAATAGGAGGCAAACTTCAAAAGCAAAGTAGGCAAATAAGTTCACATTCTGTGTAATCCATGTTGTTGGATACAAGTGTCTGCACAAGTTTGCTTAGTCTCTTTGGTCGGTGTTCTAAACTGGTAATTCTAGTTTCTTTTTAATTTACAAAAATTGTTTGCATACAGGATGATAGATGCATATGCCCCATATCTCAGCCAAGACAGGACATGCTATTGGAATTCATGGTTACAGGGTTATTATACAATAAAAATTACCAATCACTTTTCTGTGATGAAATGTGCAAGAAAAGCTGATTAGGGGCACAAGCTATGCGTGTTTAGACAGAAAAATGGCCTTTAACTCCCTGGGAGTTTTCTGCCCAAGCATGAATAGAATTGCGCCTTAAAAATAGTACACTATAATAGTTTAACCCATGCCAGTTGCTCAAATGAAATGAATCAGATTAAATGATATGGTCTTGAGATCAGCAACAGATGCCCTTCTCCGGGAACCCTCTGTGAATGATATTAGGAGGGTGGCTACTCGGAGGAGGGCCTTCTCTGCGGTGGCACCCCAACTATGGAATGCGCTCCCCAGAGAGGTCCGCCTGGTGCTGTCGTTATTTGTTTTTCGGCGCCAGGCTAAGGCCTTTTTATTTAAAACTTATTTTAAGTGTTAATTTATTATGTAGGATTTAAAAAAAAAATTAAGCCGAGATGCACCGGGTTTTAATATTTTTAGTGTATAATTTTTGTATGATTTTGTATGTTTTTGTTTTTGTTGTGAGCCGCCCCGAGGCTTTGTTGTGATGGGGGCAGCATAGAAATGTTTTAGATAGATAGATAGATAGATAGATAGATAGATAGATAGATAGATAGATAGATAGATAGATAGATAGATAGAACTAGTCCACGTAATGCTTTACTTTACCCTGCAGTCTGTCTTCACCAGAATGGCTGTCATCAAGGCTTTGGATATGATCAGCGAGGACGATTTTCATAGGTAAGTAGTGTTAGTGACCATGCGCTTCAGTTGTGTAATGGTTAATGGAGTCTTTCTTTTTGGCAGCGGTTGCAGCTTGGCTGAGTATATACTGCCCTGGACATTTGGAATTGGAGGACAGCATGGAAATAGCTTGAATGTAAATTACATAACGTTAAAATAAAATCATTCGTTTGGTTTAAATAAGCTTGAAAATACCTGTGAAGCAAGGCAGGGCCCAGTACCCCTTCTGGGAATTCAGATATGGTATCTATCAAAAGCACATGACTAGTCCACAAGGACAGATCTTTGGAAAGAAGGGCTACGGGGTGCATCCCTCTGGAAGGGATTCCTTGTAATCGCTTCTGATGATTTTCAACCCACACGGTTGCAGCCTGCTCCACACTTCCAGGAGAAGGTGATCGAATCCTGAAGCAGTGCAATTACTCTACCCTTCATACTGACTGGTGTGTGGGTGTGATATTTTCCAATATGCCATGTCACATTCATTCACTTCTTCCAGAATTAAGCAAGGAAACTCTTCTTCTAATGCAAAAACTAAAGCTGGCTTTGGGTGACATCTTAAAGCCTTTTGCAGAAATCGGTAACAAAGGAAACAAGCTGGGCCAGAACTTTGTAGAATCAGTTCATTGAGTGAAAGTTGATCTCAGACTGCACACAAAAGTGTACCCCTTCCCTTCCCTTCCCTTCCCTTCCCTTCCCTTCCCTTCCCTTCCCTTCCCTTCCCTTCCCAGCAAGTGATATCTCAAATCCAAGGCCTTCAAGGCAGTTCCTTGGTGCAGAGCTGACCACTTAGAGCATTTTATCTGACTTGGTTGTTCTTCTCTCAGTTGCTGCCTCACTTCTGGTTCTGTCTAACCCATTCCCCCGCTTCAGGGATTTCTTGTGGTTTCAGACCTGAGTTGACTTTCTGCTCCCTTCTCCCCTGCCTCTGGGTCCCCCCGTCTTTGGCTCTCCAGGCTCTACTTCTCCTTCTCTTCATCTCAGTTAGAATCTATTCCCGTGGCCCCATGTGACTCTCCTGCAGAGCTGATGGGCCTAATAGTCACACTCCACCACACTGAGATGAATCCTTGCAAGGTCTTATTTTGGATCCTGCAATGTGAACAGGCAAAGGCTCTGGCCCAGCTCAGTCCCTGCTGTGGGAGGGGACTTCTTTCTGTCACGTGGGAGCACTGGAAATTGCAATCCCATCCGTGCTATTTGAAAGGGCACCATCCATAGCATCTTTGCACGTCGTGCTCCCCGTGAAGGCCTATAGCCGGACATCTCTTGTTTAAGAGTGCTGTTTCTTCTGCCAGGTGTGCCAGGTGTACTGGAACAATAATCCAGTAATTGTTGACTTGCAAGGCCACCTTCTACCCATCTTTCAAGTGTTTTCAGTTTCTCTCTCTCTCTCACTATGCCAGGGCCCATGTTCCATGTTCTGTTTGTGTATTTTTATATCTCCTTCCATGCAGGCATTTCCACAGCCCGCCAAGTTTGCCCAAGTCACCTTGCTCAGCCGTTGACATTCAGTGTACCAATGGTGCCATCTTTGTGGCTGGTAAATGTTTGTTCATTCTTCTTCTTACCTATGAATGGGGGAGTTGTGGTTACCTGTGTTGCTCCAGCAACACTCGCAGTTCTTCCCTGGTTGGAGAAGTTGTTCCTTGTTTAGGCTCTTCCTGGTACTGATCTGTAAGGTCCAACCAGGGAGTGATGGCCTTTCCCCACCCTGGTACTCAAATGCTCTTAGGTGGAAACCGAACCTGTTGCTTTCTGGATACAAGGCAAATGTTGTGCTCCTGTACTGTGGTCACTAAATCATGCTGTGGGTCGGAGCCAGTGGGGTCACATCAGCCATGCCCCCCCTTTTCACCATTCCCCACAACAGCACGTGCATAGCTTGGCAGTCGTCCACATGGATGGCGAAAAGAAATGCGGATGGTTGTGTCCACACGGTGCTCCTTGGGTCCCAGAACTTAGCTCAGGTGACCCTGATGCAAACCTGCAGTCACGCAATCAGACCTCAGCTGCGAGGTGGCCTTTCAAAGCACGGTCCTTTCCTGCAGGACGGCAGCCAGCAGTGGGAAGTGTCCTACCTGTTTGGTGGTTCTTCTGACTATTGGCCAAACAGAAGGCACAGGTAAAGAAACACAGTGTGATGTTGCCAGCACGCACCTTTTGGCACGTTCAGAATTAAATGTTCAAGCGTGCCAGTGCCAATGTGCTGAGGCTGACGGGTGGAAGTAACAGGCAGGTTGCCCTCCTTTGCCCATATTCCTTACTTGAGGACCAAGAGGTTACATTTGAGTAAAGAAGACATTTCACCAATTGTAGTTTGCTTTCATTGGCAGAAATGAAACCTGCACCATGTTTGACATTGGCAGTCACGTTAGGCCCCGTTAGCTGCTGCCCTGCAGCTCATACTTGGTTTTCAAATCATTGTTATGTAACTGAGTTCACCGTCCACCAATCGATTGGGTGATGTCTGCTCTGGATCCAGGTTAAATGGGGTGTGGGAAGGTTGCTGATGGAGGACACCTTCCAGCACATGCTTTTTAACTGTGATGATTTGCCTTGCCATGGGCTTGGCTTCAGCTCAGCCTACAATTTGTTACTTCTGTTGAACCAATACTGTGTGTGTATTCTCAGGAAGATATAACAAATACTCCAGGACACTACCTCAAACTCCCTGGATTATCGATGGAGAGAGAAAGATGGATTCTTCAGTGGAGGAACTAATCTCTGAGCATCTCATGACTGTCTTCAAAGCAGATAGTGAGTGTTCGTTCTCGTGTTTGCTGCACAGGCGCACACTTGCATTGATGTATTTCCACCAGACTGTGCAAACAGTACCTTAAAAACACGCATGCAAATTCTGCAACCAAGTAAACCAGGATTTATGCAATAACAAGCTCCATTCTGGGTTTAGTTTAAATTGAGCAAAGTAAGTAAACTTGAAAAGGGCATCTTTTCATCTTTCACTAGGCATGGGAAGTGGCAATTTCCTATGTAGAGAATTGAACACGTTTCCTCGAAATATATTGCCAAGCCACACCCTCCAGTGTGTGAAACTTTGCCAGGCATTGCCTCTCCTTTCCCTTTCCCAGAAAAGCTTGAGAGCCAGAAACTGTAGCATTTTAAAACATCTGCAATAAAAGCTGAAATGCTCAAGGTTCTGTTTCTCTCCCAGCCGTTTCCTGCTCTTGCATGTGGTGGCCTATAAAATGCACTCTGCCTTGCCTCCTGAGGGATCCCCAGCTCATGTGTCCCCCTTCACCTCCCCTAAGATTTATGGGTGCACCATTGCTCCATGTGCCGCCTTCTCCTGAAATTCGTTCTCTTGGGACAGAGCTGAGCTTTATCTTGGATCGTGCCTACATTCTGGAACGCTTCTCCCAAAACACTTTGAATCAAGAGCTCCTTTGATCAAAGAATGGGCCACTTCTCTGGTGGGTCCCATCCCATTCCCATCAGAGAATGTCTACTAACCAGTTGCACACATTATCAATGGTAAACAAAAGTCAGTTGCGTGTATAGTGTTTGTAATTCATGTGCTGGGCCCCGACATACGTGGTATTCCATTTATACTGGACTTGCTTCCAGGTAAGAGCTGCTAATACAGCGGCTGTAAGACTGCGTGCAACCTTGGGGCCACGGTGAGCCCCTTGGAGGGTCAGGGATTGTATGAAAATACTAGCAGCAAGCTCAGTAGATGCTTTCCTTCCTCTGTTTCAGGCTTTAATTTTTCATCCTCTGGAAGAGAAGACGTGGATGTGAGAACATTAGGCAATGGTAAGCTCCGCTTGTGTGCTCTCGCCCTCTCTAAAACAGCCTAAATGGGGCCTCCACCAGAGTTTCCCAAGCGAAAACCAGGCTATCGGTTAGTGGAGCCGAGCAACCCGTTTTCATTGAAACTGAACTTTATGCAAAGAACCATTTTTCTGTAGGCTGCATAAATCCAAAGATTATCAATGGATAAAGACTGTGCTTTTCAGATGCTTTACTTTGAATTTGTAAATCTGAAAATTACTTTATTAGATTTATATCCCATGATTTTTCTTACAAAGAACTTGTATTGGTTTACGTCATTCTGCCTTGGTCTCTGTTTTATCCCCACAACAACAGCCCTGTGAGGTAGGTTGCTCTGAGTGTGACTGGCCCAAGATCACCCAGCTGGCTTCATGGGCGAATGGGAACTAGAACCCAAATCACCTGAGTCCCAGTCCCATGCTCTTAACCACGACACCACACTGGCTCACCAGTTTACCCCTCAGTTGCTGACAAATGGCATCTTCTTATTCCTTCCAACCTCCCCACTTCATGTGACAGGAAGACCCTTCGCGGTGGAGCTGTTGAATCCTCGGAAAGTCCACGTGACTGCTGCAGATATGAAGGCGCTCCAGCAGGTAAAGTATTTGCAAGGATTAAGGCAATAAACCTAATTTTGCTACGTCAAGATGTAGATGAGGATTAACTGTGTTCATCCTCAAACAGCCTGGGTCCAGGGCACCCAAATTATGTGGTGGCCCTGGACTGTGCCCAATAGAAGACACCTGGGAACCCCACGTACATATCCTAACGTTTCATAGATAATAGATGATCAGACCTTATTTATTTATTTATTTATTTATTTATTCATTCATTCATTCATTCATTCATTCATTCATTCATTCATTCATTCGCCGAAGCCTCGGGGCGGCTCACAACGTTAAGTTAAAATACAAACATTAAGTTAAAACATTAACTTAACATAACATTAAGTTAAAATGTTTGTAAAATGCAAACATTAAGTTAAAATACAAAAAATAACAATATAAAATAAGTCTCCCTGGCCAGATAAAATCAAATAATATTAGCAATTAAAATGACGCTTAAATAAAAAGGTCTTCGCCTGGCGCCGAAGCATATGTTATGCTTACCTTAGCATATGTTACGCCCAATCAGCCCAATGCAGCATGTCTCTTCCTTGGGCATTCAGGTAGTAAAGTTTTAGTTGATCCATGCCGTCCTAAGAGCCATTTTTGAGGGGGCTGACACTGATTGGCTTCAAATAATGTGATAACCCACACCCCAGGGGTGGGGGTGGGGGTTGAGTGTAGCTTGTTGTAGGACAGTGATTACTTGGGTGATCCTGTTATCTGAAATTGTGCTAATGAGCTATGGATGTGAACCACAAACAGTGCATGGGACGAACCCATGATGTGCCGCTCGGTTGTGATCAGTGGGCTGTTCACCAGGATGTGTTGCTTTGGCTGGTTCATATAAGATGGCAACACCAACTCATGGCCCAGTCACAACTCACACTCAGTCCATACTTAACCCTTGAGTTGGGTGATGGCACAGTCAGAAGCCACTTGTTGCCTTTTGACTAATTAACTGCAATGAAGTCAGGCAATACGGTTCATCTTTTTTTCTTCTTTTAATGAACTCTTCCAGACCATCAATAACTCTTCAGACAAGGTCCAAGTTCGGGATCTACAGCTTGTCACCAGGTCAGTGATGAGGTTCTTAGATGACGTTCTTTAAGGGGGGGATCTTAGGCTCTCTTGGTCTATGACTGTGTTACCATTTAACATCCTTTTGAAAAGATACTTGCAGGTCCAGGGCAGAATTACGACGGCAGGATTTTTGGCCAGGTAATCCAGGATGGGTCGTTGCAAGAATCAGTGTGGATCACGTGCTTGTTTTGGGTTTGCTTCAAAGCTTTCCCAGTCAGATTCGTCTTTTGGCAGAGCAAATGGGGCAGGGCGGGGGGGCAGCCTGTCCTTCAGCCATAACTGTCAAGGTGGCTTACAATACATAGAACCAAATGATCCTTTTGCCACAAATACACTGTACAGAATTGCTGACATCTAGTCATGAAGCAGTGTTAAAGGGCAGTAAAGATACAGGAGGAGAGCCCAACCAGCTTTGGACTCTTGGTCAAGACAAACTTTGACCAAGGTGTCAAAGAATTGTAAAGGTGGCACCCCCCTGTGAGGTAGTTGGGCTGATAGTCTGTGATTGGTCATGGTCAAGAGGGACGAGAACCCAGATCTCCCAGGTCCTGAGTCCAACTCTTGGACTACCATGCCACTGGAGCGCTCCAAGTTTGCTAATGAGTAAAAATAGTATCTTTGAAGCAAGAAGCCTACTTTCTTTGTTCTTAGCTGATGAGTGTATGTCATAGAAGTCATCACAGGTGTATGAGAGAAGGTAAAAGGGGCTTGCTATCTGCATTTTATAAGCACTTGTATTAAAATATAAGGATTAACAAATTAAGATTTGTTTCAGTTCTTCAAATGAGATTTTTAATCCATTTGTACAATCAATTAAAACTTGGCCATCCGACTTTAGTTCCATTGTTTAGACTGTTTGCAGAATTTGGTTGCAGAATTCTGTGTTCTTAAGTGCAGATTCTTCATCGTGGCCTCTGTGCATCACACACATGGGTGCTGCGCCTGCACAGTGCCGATGGCCGGGAGACTGAAAACTAACGGTTTTGGCAGGGAACTCTGCTCCCCTCCCCGCCCCAGTGCAGATTATGAAATCTTTCAGTGCACAATTTTGAGGTGTGTGTCCTTGCTACCGCTGTTAACGCTGAGCTGCAAGATGGGAGGACACTTGCTTCACTGTCCCATTCCAGGTCCTTCATAACTATATTCAGTGCCTGGTGTGGAGTGCTTTTGCCTCTTCAGCTCTGCGGCTCCTGCTCTGTGGTTGTGCCAGCCATTTCTTTTTTGCAGAGAGGCCATCGGGCACATGAAGGAAGGGGAAGAAGGCAAGACCAAGACCTACAGTGCCTTGATCTGGACAGAAAAAGTCATCCGAAATGAAGACCTTTCGCCTCTGGACAACATGAAGGTTCCGTGTCTGGGATTTATCCTTTATTTATTGGTTTGTGATTAAGGACTTTGCCAGTTCGATCTTGTGCGGCTCCCATCCCATTTAAGACAAAAGTTGGGATCCGTTTTAGAGGAGCGCCGCGGAGGCCCTAGCAGGAGCATTCCCTTGGATCCGCTGCCAGTGTTGGACTAGCGATGGCTGTCCTGGGAGGAGCATCCGGCACAGGTGGGCTCATGCCTAGAGGATGCGGCCAGGTGAGAGAGCTTGGCGCAGAGCCATTCGGCCAGCCGCTGGGTTCTACAGGGCTGGGGGACCCTGTTGCACCAAGACGGCATTCCAAAGTGATCTCCAAGGCTAATGCAGGAAAGGTTTGTTTATAGCTTTTAAATCATAGGAGCGCATCCCTGCTCTGAGCTGGTCCTGAAAGCTGGCGTTCATCCTTACAGTGCTGTGGAGCTACACCCCACCTGGGGTGCTGTGTGGAAATTGATGTTTTTCTAAATGCTTGCAGCAGCTCTGCAACCCAGTAAGCCTACTGGGGCACCTGCTGTAAGAATAGAAACATAGAAACAGAGCGAGTCAGAAGGGGCCTCTCAAGCCATCTAGTCTGACCTCCGGCACCAGCCGGCTCCGCTCACGACATGCCCACCATGTGGACGTCCAGCCTATCCTTGAACACCAGCACCGATGGGGCCTCAACCACCTCCCGGGGAAGCCCATTCCACACCCTCGGGGTCCTAGGATGCAGGGTGGGTTGTTTATGTTCTGATCTCTGGAAATAAAGGCTATGATTGAAGAAAGATTGTATGATCATTACTGAATGATCATCTGTATCTTTTCACAAACCTGATGAGCAAAGTCCATGATGGCCATGATCAATTTGCAGACATGAGTTGGCATTTACACCTGTGGCTGCTTTCAAGAGAGATGGCCTATGCAGTCCTTTGTAAAAAATAATTTTTGTTAATTTTCAGTCTAAAATACAGCCAAAAAACTACATTTCAAAACAAAAATGTGTAAAGTTAAAGATCCAATTAAAATAATTCTAACAATACAGTGTCCCCCACCTATCAGGACCAATTATACATGTTGTAAAACGGAAACATTGAAACAGAATGAGTCAGAAGGGGTCTCCTGGGCCATCTAGTTTGACCCCCAGCTCCAGCCGGCTCCACTCATGACATGCCTTCCATATGTATGTCCAGCCTATCCTTGAACACCCTCACCAATGGGGCCTCAACCACCTCCGTGGAAGCCCTTGGGGTCCTAACCTAAAACAAAATACAAAAACTCATTTAAACATTTCAGGACATTCCCCCCTTCCAAAGCTGTAATGATTCTTTCAAGGGCTCAAATCCTTTCCCCTTTTAAAAAGGGAATTCACCTGGCGTGTTATTAAACTAATTTTTCTTCATATGTCCTTTTCTCACTTTAATTGTACATGTTAATTTGTCATTAATAATTATATTCCAAACTTCTCTATACCAATCAGACAATTGGTGTTCATATTTTACTTTCTAATTCTTAGCTATAATAAATCTAAGTTATTAAATTATTTGTTAATCTGCAGTTATTAAATTTGTTATTAATTCTTTATTGTTCAACCTATGCATCCCTGAATGAGGCTACTTAGCATTCGCATACATAGAAAAGCTTGATTGGAGGAACACCTTTGGCGTTCAGAAGATTTGTTTTCACTGTTTTGGCATTGGACTTGGGTGAGGTGAGGGCAAGGGGGTGCCCCTTAATACTAGTCTGTAGTGTCAAAACTCAGCAAGGTGGGTCCCTGTTAAGTAAAGTGAGGCAGCCCAGCTTAGACACTGGAATTGAATGCTGTCATTAAGGGTTAGCCCACTGTTATTTCGGGTTGCTTTTACTTCCATTCATTTTTTGTCCCGATCACCACGCTGTCCTGGTGAATCATCTCTTGTCCATTTAGCTTTCCTGGTCTCCATGGTGTTCCTCTTCTTCATTTTCAATCTGTGGGCAGGAATTGAAGATCGACCAGAAAACTCCGCTGCGGGTCCTTCACCGGCGACCGCTAGCTGTCCGGGCCCGCATCATCCACACCATGCGGTCAGAGTACATCGATGAGCACCATTTCCGCCTTCATCTGAAGTCACAGGCCGGGACGTATCCTTTCTGCAGCCAGTTGGCCTAAAGCTGTAAGCAATGCCACCTTGAGACTCAGAAGGAAAGGGCGGCATAAGATTGTGACAGAATACAGGAACATACATATTCCCTTTGCTTAATTACCCTAATTGATGTCAGTTGCAGAATAGCCAGCCTTTGCGCAACAGGGTTTTCCTTTCCTTTGTACAGAATTATGAAGAAACTGCACAGCAGGATCGGATCGAACTTTATCTGATCCATTCTGTTTTCCGTACCACCCAATAGCTCAGGATTTCTGATCTGTGCAAAGATTAAACCCCCCTGAAATACAGCTTGGTTGTTGCACCTGCGGAACAGTTCGTGCTGGCAGAGTGTGCTCATGCCTCCTTCCACATCTGCTGGACCAGGCTCCAATTCCCTGGAGCAGATCTGGGGCTGCTGGGAGGAAGAGAGGACAAAGCATCTTGTTCCACACTCCGGCACATAACCATCATGAGATTCCTCCTCCCCTCCGCCTCCCCCTCCTCCTCTGCTCTCTGCCATCCAGTCTAATGCTGCAGACGCACTCGCTTCTAGAACTGCCTGGGTTTGTGTGCAATGCCACCCTGATAATACTAGCATGGTTGTCTCTGTCTAGGGTGTGTGTTTGTGTGTGTGCATGCATGCATACGTGCGTGCGTGCGTGTGTGAGGATGTATACCCAGATCTTTCCTCACCAGCTCTTTCCTCCCTTTGCCTTAATGGAAATCTAGCTACATTAAAGAATTTGTACATGGAGACTTTGGAAGGACCAGGCCTAATCTTGGTTCCCTCTTGGGGACGACCGCGGACATTATGGAGCTGGATGTAGAAGTGAGTATTCTAACCTGTACATTGTAGAGTGATGGGAAGAATCTCCTAGATGGGTAATCAAGACCATAACTTCTGGCGTGCAAGTTCAGTATCTCTGATCTCTGCAAAAAATGTGGCTCCCGCAGCAGTCTCCTAAGGAGCCCACCTGCTGGAAGAGCTGAATCACTGGTTCAGGGCGAGTGTTACGGTTCCCCAGTGTCCACATTTCCTGTTTTCACATTCAGCTGAAGCTCATCCAGACTAACTAGTCATACGTAGAGCCAGCCAATGGAAATTGGTAGCACTTGCGTTAGGCATGACCGACAATTATTGTTGTGAGCCGCCCCGAGGCTTCAGCGAATGGGGCGGCATAGAAGCTTTCTAACTCACTCACTCACTCACTCACTCACTCACTCACTCACTCACTCTCACTTGTTTCCGTGGATTGGCTCTAAGTATGCCTTGAGGAGGAGCCATAGCTTGGCGCTTAGCATGGAAAGGGCCCCCGCTTCAAAGCATAGCATCTCCAGGTGGGGCGAGCAGGGAATCTTGCCTGGAGCCTCGGAACATTGCTGCCAGCCAGCGCTGACCATACCAGACTAGCTGGACCAGCGGCCTGACCCATTACAAGGCTGCTTCTTGTGTGTGGGTTCAACCCCCAGGACAGGAACTGTGATTTATTACTTTGTCTTAAAGGTTCATTGTTCTTGCTGAGTTGCCCAGGCTGCCTGGGAATGTTGATTCCAAGGGGCCTTCTGTCCAAGTGTCTCTTGGATGTACAGGCATCTCTTCATAGCTTTGGCAGAAGTACTTCAGTCAAGCATTTGAGGCATTTTCTGGATACAGATACCCTAAGATCAAGTGACTTCTCCCACTCTTAATTTCATTGTTTGTTCTCTCTACAGTCGGTGGATGTTGATTGGCCTCCAGCACTGGACAATTAATGAAGAATTAGAATTTAGGGAATTTCAACTATTGTAGTCCAACACAACTGGAGGTTGAAGAGGGCTGAGGGGCAAAGGACGGGCTGCATCTGGCAAACTAGATCGTTTCCCTGAGTTTTTGTTCAGCTTATTAGATCATGTTGATCTGTTCAAAGCTGGTTGGTTTGTAATTAAAATGGCTGCCTTTCATGGCTTTTAAGAATTCAAGAAGAAATTTGGAACCAATTCCTATATAAATACACAATTATCTGATACAGATTTAAATCTTGAGGTAGGATCTTTTGTCAAGAGAAAATTACTTTGATTTTCTGTATAATGGGGCAGATTTGGAAGCCATAAACTCATTCTGAGATCATAGCAGAGAATAGCCAAATAAAATTCCCAGAGAGATCCTTGGCTCTCTGTGTGAGAAAGAACCAACACTTTCTCCATTCAGACTGGAGCACACTTCTGTGCTTATTGTTTAAAAACTCTGTTTTTGGGTGTACCACTTACAGAAGTAATATTGGCATTTTTTACAAGTTGCATCGCATTGTCATCTGCTGCTGACAGAGATGGAGGTTTGAAAGGCCTCCTTAAGGTACATTATGCTTTAAAAAGCCAACGCTCACAGAATGCTGCGTGTGATGCAGGGCCGGCCCTCCCATTAGGCAGAGTGAGATGATTGTGGCAGTGGCGGCGGTGGCAGCCTCCCAGCTGTTCCTCTTGGCACTCCCCGGCTGTTGCTCTCGGCTGGAGGATGCAGCTGTTTATGCCGCTCACCTGCTGTAGGTCCCATTAGGCCAGCCTGTTGCATGGGAATGCAACTCTCGCGCTGGATATAGAACAGTGCGGGGCATCATGCCTCCCTTTAAAGGTAGGAGATGATGTGCAAACCCTTCCGGGAATCAGGTAAGATGCTAAGGTAATGAACCTTCTGGATATTTTAAGACAGTAATATTTGGCCAGTGTTGTGTACCGAAAAACAAAGTGTGAAATGCAAAGGACCTGGTTTGCACATAGTGAAAACTCATTGTTTTAAATCTCAGTGGATTGTCATGTATGAGATGGAGACGTGTGCTTTCCTCTGACGCTTTTATTCCTCAGTCCACAATTGGATTCTTCATAGGTTCTGGAATCTGACACCCAAGCACAGATCTCGGTCTTGTTGAGAGGCAGAACAACCCAAATCTTAACCCACAGTTTACATGTGAACAGGGCCAATGTGAGGTAGTTCTGAAAAATAGAATTGTTTTTATACAAAAAATTAAATTTGACAAAATTCTCTTCAAGTATTATGGTGTTTCTCTTTATATATATATTTTCTGTGGCTGTAAAGAATGGAATATAGGATACTCATCAGGAATGCTGATGGGAATACTTTGCAACAATATGAATAAGTCCATGTCTGAATTTCCTTACTTCTTCTCTGGTCCTTTTATAGCATGCCTGTTAAAATACAGGTCATGCTTTTCCATTGTAGACCACGTCGAATATTTTGGTGGAAAGATGGCATGGAAGCATAGTAAGGGGTGGATCCAGGATCTGCCTTCTGTGAGAAGTGTTCCTCATTTGGGGGGCTGCCCCCCCAAAAAAGGCACATGCACAGCAGAGTTCACCCCATGCAGCAGGCTCTCCTGACTCTCTGTGTTGCATTTTCAGGGGGCTTGAGGGGCTGCCATAAATCCTTAAGTTGCTCATGCTTATGGATCCAACCCTGGATAAAGTACTAAATAACAGGCTCCAGCTTAGTATGGGCAAATGCATCTTTAACCACTGATTCCTTTTGGCTGGAAATATAATTAAAACCTCTTTTACCAGACATTTGATGGTCAGTCTTGGACCTGGCATGGACGCCCTCTGGTGTGACTCATTTTCTCTGCCTCACACCTGGAGTTTCATAACTGTAGGTGTAGTATTTGTTTTGTTCTATATTTGGGTGGTGTGATAGCTGTGGACCTCGGCTGACACCTGAGAAGATTCTTTGAGGTCTATTTCATCCTCTGAAAGTAGACTAACAACAATCTTTCCAGCAGCTAATGAGCAAATCACTCTGCATTTCATGGCCCCTTTTAGCATTAGATCATTCCTCATGCTAAAGCAAGATACAAAATGGCAGCATTTCTGTCCTCAAATGGAGGAAAGGTGTGTCCCAAGCAGCAGGCCCACATAACAGGCTGTTCCTCACCAGTGCACAAAACAGTTCCTTCCCTTGCAGTACGGGGAGGTGTTTGTCCAAGTCCCCCTTGTCTGTACAATAGCTGATTGGAATAAAACGGAATGACAGATAAGCTGAGCTTGGGAGAGCTGTGACGAGGGTGTTGAACCTGCAGGGACAAATCCAACTTCATAGACCTTTTGGCACCATGTTCTACTAGTTGTGGGGCTCAACTAATAAAAATGCCAGTGTATTTTAGCTTAGGACACTTACTGCTGGAAACCTGGCCTTAGGAAATGCAGTTCAGACTCTTAGAAGGGTGGGGACGAATTGGGAAAGTCAGAAAACCATCAAATGATCTGTGGAAAGGGGAAGGGTGAATGGCCTTCAGCAGAACCCTGGAGGGCTCATTGGCACACCAGGTGGGCATGATTTCGCCCAGAGGCCTGAAGCGGCCTGACTGATTGATTGATTTATAACTTTTATACCCCATCTACCTCTTTGATGTCTCGGGGTGGCTTATAACAAAGAACAATAAAATAACGGAACAGCACAGCATCCATCAATGAAGATAAAAAACCCCAGTTAAAACTGGTGCTCCTGCAGGTACCCAGGACCCAAGCTGTTTAGGGCTTTCTAGGTCATCACCAGCTCCTTAAATTAGACCCGGACTTCAACTGGCAGCCAGTGTAATTGATAGAGGACTGGCATTATATGGGAGTACCTGCCAGTCCCTGTTAATATCCTGGCAGCTCTATTCTGGACCAACTGAAGTATCCGGACTGTCTTCAAGGGCACCCCCACATACACTGTGTTACAGTAATCTAACTAGTACCTCTGAACAGGAAGCTACAAATGCAATTAATAAATTGAAGTATGGTCATGGACAGCTTATTCCAGATACACTTTTTGGGAATAAGTATAACCAATGGAACAGGCAACGGATGAGTTTCCACATTTGTTTTAGAGCTTTACATGTTTGCAAGAAACGGACCAGCTCTGCCAGGTCCAATGGCCTCAACATTTACAAAAGCTCTAAAAACATTGGGTTTTCTGATCCACCTCTTGCATTTCATGCTTGCCACTCAATATATGGCCCTTAAGACCTGTCCATAAACACAACATGGAGGAGCCTTAAAGGCTGATGGATCATTGCTGTGGCATAAGCTTTGGGGGGAACAGGTTCTCTCCAGCAAAGCCTCATGCCCCAGTATCTCCATGGTGAATGATGGCTACCCTTGCAGTACAGTTGCAGTAAGAGCGTCCAGGTGAACTATACAATGCCTAGAAAAGGAGAAAGGAAGGCCTGCAGATGTCACTGTAGAGCCGTTCTCTGGTCCGTTTCCGTGTTCAGAGCTCGATCAGCTTGTGGATGCTGCATGACTGCACGACAGGCGGGCAGCGCTTGACTGGCATCAGGGGGCATCCGCTGAAGCCCACGTCTCAGCAGCCTGCTTCTTCAGAGGCATCCCTTAGGTGGGTAGCAGGTAGCCAATGCTTCCGGCATGTCACAAGTCCATGATGCTGACCAGGGCTGATGGGAATTGCAGGCCAAAACATTTAGCTGCCCAGCCCTACTCTAGTTCTGCCTAACCAGACAATGGCTGGCAGCGATTTGCCAGATTCCCAGGGTAAGAGTCTTTCCTTGCCCTGCTTGGCAAGCTCCTGGGGCCGTCTGCGTGCAAAGCAAGTCATGTTGGGCCAGTCACGGCCTCTCAGTCTAACTTACTTCTAAAGGGTTCTTCGAGGCGCGAGAGGCAGAGAATCTCGTAAGCGGCTTTGGATTTTTCAAACACCCCTCCCACAGAGCCTGCACTTGCACCTGAGCAGCCCTTTGGAGAGCCCCACCAGCTGCTTTCCCCACAGAGGTGGGAGACAGAAAGAGGCAGGGGTCCCATGTATGTTCTCCTGCCTCGTGTGTGTTTGCCGGCCTGCTATACGAACACAGGGACCACCGCAGCCTCCTCCTCCAAGGTATGATACGCTGATGGCCATCAAAGACCGCTGAAGTATTTTGCAGGGCAGAAAGAGCAGACGGGAACTCCTTCCCACGCTGTGTTCACTCTGCTTTGGATGCCCACCATGCACGTTCGGATGTGAATCTGGACTGCATTGCGTCATGAAACATTTAAGCAGTTGGGTTTTCCCACCCTTTCTAAATGCTGAGAGTTGGGGGCTGATTACAGTTCTTGAGCAAGTGCCTTCTACAGCTTGGGAATGACAGGAGAGAAAGCTCTTTTCTATGCCCTTGAAAAGGCCTCCCTCGCAAGCCTTAATTCCCAGGCAGGTTCAAAATCCTGTGCAAGGCTGCAGGTCTCCCCAGCAGAGAGAATCCTAGCATATGGCAGCAGTGCCAATTCCCCCTCTGGTTCTCATCCTTACGGTAACAACAACAATAATAGGGTCAATTAAGACATGTTTTGCCACAAAGACTTCATTTATTTACAATAACAATGCGCTTAACAAAACCAGGATAAACCTGCCATAACCCCTCAATAGTCACAGAATGCTAACAACTAAATATGAGAACTTTTAACCGAAATCGGTGAAAACTATTTCTGCTGCTATGCTAATCGACCTGCCAAGAATCCTTTGCATCAATTCTTGCAAACAGCTAGAAGGGATTCCCTCCCAACTCCTATTTTGGACCATTACAAATGCACCAAGAACGTCACTGTGTTTTGAGTCCATTTGAATTGCATCAACAGGACATCAAGAAGCACCCCTCGGAATCACAGACATACATTCAATTCCTTGTTGGAGCACCACAACTCCTAAAGGAGACCTCACGAGCGGAAGAGTAGAGAGAGCTTGGACTGCATCATCTGTTCCTCGGCCCACCCATGAATGCACCTGTTGCTATCGGCGTTTACAGGTCCAATAACGAATGGCTCTGCCCCATCCATTCCCCATCAAAAGACCCATTAAGCCCTTTTCCCGCACGGCTACCACAACCTGTTCCCAGCATCAGAACCTGGTACCACCACGTGTCAAAGCCTTCCCCAACCTGGAACCTTCCAGGTATACTGAACTGCAATTCCCATAATCCCCAGAAATGCTGGCCGGGAATGAAGGAAGCTGTAATCCAAAATGTCTGGAGGTTGCCAGATGCTTAATAAAAGCGATGCTAGAATTAGCTGATCCCTCCAGTGTATAACTCACTGGAGCTGATATTGCAGCTTTTGTATTCGAACGCATCTATCCACATGCAAAGAACATACTTCCTACCCATCATGAAAGAGAAGCCGATACGAGAGCAGAAACACAAGCCAGTCCCACTCACCACTTCTGCGTGCAAAACGTGCCCCAAGCAGTCATCTGCAAGTGAGGGGGCATTAATGAATTTTGCAGGCAGAGCTGAGGATAACAAAGCTAAGCAAGACTCCAACTCCCTTTTTCACACTCTCTGATTGCCTCCTCTTAGTCGGTGCCCATGCACCAGTCTTCCCCAACCTGGTGCTCACTGACCATGCCAGTTGGGGTAGATGGAAGTTGTTATCCAACCATCTAGAAGATGCTTGATTGGGGAAGCCTGCTTGAGAAACATTGCCGAAAACAGACAAGGAAACGGAGCCCAGTAAGAAAAGCCATGGCATTCCCACCACCTCGCAATATATCTAAAGCAGAAACCTTTTCAGTGTGAGAACAACCAGAGAAAAAGCTTGCTCATCAGCATATTTCTGAGCACTAACCATACTATTTTAAAAACAAAGCAACACAATTTTTTAAAAAAGCACCCCCATACTTGTGACAAGAGTGTTCATCAGCTCAATGTGAGAATTCCGGTAATCTCAATTTTAAAAATTATTTCAACACTTTTTACAGGTGTCTCAATTCTTTTCTTTAAAAAAAATTAACAATGACACAGTCATTACCATTATTGATATGTAGATTTGCCTAAATGCAAACAAAATAATACATAATTGTGGACAAAATATCAGTGCTTAAAGCAGCTTTGTGGAGTGATTAGTGGTAAAAACATGCACAAGCAATATTGAATAATTACCAACAGTGTAATCCTATGCAAGTTTCCTTTTGAGTTAATTCCTAGAAACTGCCTATCACTGCATCGTAATATACAGCCTTTACTGTCCAATATTCACATGGGAACATTTAGGACTGAAGTAAACTTCTGATGCTTCATTAGTTAGGGTGCAATTCTATGGCTTCTGGATAACTTCTAGGGCCCACAGGATTCTTTGAGGCCCAGCTCCATGATCCTGCAGCCTCAGAGCTGAGATTCCAAGGGCCAAGCCCCCTTCCGGGCCCTCACCCAGCATGGAAAGAACTGCATGGGCTGCCCCCTCCCCAGGTTGCAACTGGCTCTCAGAGGGGAGGAAGGTGGCCGAGGCTGCAATCTTACACTGTTCCTACTCAGTGTCCCGGGCTCCCTTCTCCCTCGTGCTGAATCCTGACAGCTGGAAACTGGCCCACATTACAGTCCTTGCACTGAATGCTTGCGGCTAATGGATCGCACCCCAAATCTGTCGATTGGAACAACATGTATTTGCACGTGATATAATGTACGTGGTTAAAACGGGTTGAGAGAAATAGTGACGTGTACTTTACTCATTTGGGTATGATGCATAGATCTGTAACAGATGACGCCTCCAAAGCTTATCATGTAATGGAGTTGTGTAAGCAAGAAGGGGAATCAGAAAGCTGGATAAGAATTAATTTGCATTTCTGACATGTTAAGTGTTCAGCTCATCAAAGTGTAAAGAAAAATGCATAATGTACTGTCATGGTATACTGGATAGTGCCCTGCTTTAAAAGTAAAGGTTTCCCCTTGACATTAAGTCCAGTCATGCCTGACTCTAGGGAGCAGTGCTCATCTGTTTCCTGGGCGAGGGAGCCAGCGTTTGTCCACAGTTTCTGTGGCCATGTGGCCGGCATGACTAAACACCGAAGTGCACGGAACGCTGTTAGCTGCCCACCGAAGTGGTACCTTTCTATCCACTTGCATTTGCATGCTTTCGAACTGCAAGGTGGGCAGGAGCTGGGACGGAGCAACGGGAACTCACCCCGTTGTGCAGATTCGAACTGGCGACCTTTCGACCAACCTGCTTTGGAAAGCCTCAATTTGGACTGAGTATGGGTTGAAATGGGAGTAGATGTAGACATAAAAGGTCTTCTGGAGGGAATGAGAGTGGCTTCAATAGAGAACTAGGAGGTTGTTCTTAGATGTGGAGAAGTGTAATTATTTTCTTGCCTTCTGGGAGAAGCAGGATGCTGCATTAACCTTGCCCTGGACATGAAGAGTCTCTTTGCAAGGAGTAACAGAGACTATGCCTTTTTTCAAGGGAGTGAGACCCACTCAGCAGACGGGGACCTGCTGGGAATGATTAGACCCTGCTGCTTTCCGTAACTGCCAAGAGACTTTGGCTTGTGATGTTTGGGCGCAGAATTGTGCTAGGCTGCCCCTTTTTAAAGCTGTATTAATAAATCTTTTCTTGATTGGCTTGGCTTTGTCCAGACATGTCTGGGTTTAAGCGGCAAGACTTGGGCTCTGCACACAGCGTAGCAAGAGGCGTTTTAAAAGAGGCATTCCTGTTGAAAGGCGAGCAGAGAATGCCTCTTTTGAGACATTCATGCAATAATACCATTTTCGTAAGAATGTATGGTGTGCACTCCCAACTATCCAACCCACAACCAGATCAGAACTAAACACTGCTTTAAAAGGGGCTCCTTTTCACCTGCAATTCCACCAAAATGGATGTGCATAACTAGCTCACTTCTTGTGCAGTAATACTCACTTTTAAAAAGTGCTGTAGAATTTACATCGGTACTTATGCAACGAACCATACACACGCAAGCAATTGCTAGACCTTCCTGTGCGAATGCATCGTCTTATATTGAGAGTTTTAAATCATAAATGCCAATTGTGCATCATAGCTGTGAAGTGGGTGACACTTTTTATACCTTTAAATAGCATATATATATTTGGTTTGTCTTGCCTTGGGTCTATTTCATCTGGAACTGTCTTCCCTGGAAAGGCCGGGAAACAAACAAAATTTTTCAGTGTTCGTTGCTTCAGCTAAAAGCATTTTAGCCAAGCATCTGTTATGGAACATGCCGCAAAAGACTATTTAAAAATTAAATAATGTCTCTGCACTAACTTATTGCAGCAGTGCAAGAACATAAACACAAGTAATTGCAATATTGCTTTTTGCAGATTAAAATTGAGAAACTATTCGACCCTAATGAGTTCTTCTATCGGTGATCCTAAAATTGTTGTGGTATTGTTTAAATTTCTCTACATGCTGATTCCCTGAGATGAAATAAGAGTTCTTTTCAGAAGTCGTGGGGAAAACTAATTCTCCCACTGATAGGAATTGGGTACCAGAGTAATAGTCTATGAAGCGTTCTATCGTGGTTTCATCAGTATTCGAAAGAGTTGAGAAACTCTTCATCTTGGCTGCTGTATGGGTTGAAGAACTGGTTATGGGATGTATGGTTTGGGTTCTCAAAAGCAGAGTTGCTTGGTGGTCTCAATTCATGGAAGTTATCCAGATAATGGAAGGAAATTGTCTCCAAACCGCTGGACATGGAATTCAAAGACGAGCTGCAAGTGGGAGCTATTGATGTAACGGGAAGCAGTGCTGGCTGCACCTGCCTCTTGTCTCCTGGATTTAGAACCTGTGCGAAGGATGCCTTTTCCAGGTTTACGCTTGCACACCTGGTGTCTTCCATCTCCATGCAGATGCCGTTGGGCATTGACACATTTGCAGGAGGAACAGCCTGGCTGGGGACTGTGCTGGAGACGCTCTGCATGTCTTGATGAGAGATGGACAGTGATGGTGTTGATGATAATGCTGTCCCTTGGCCATTGGCTGCATTGAGGAAAGCTCTGTAGAAGTTCCTGTCCTTTTGACTGGGCCAATTCAGGCTATTTTCCTGCTCCACCATTGAAGAGCCGCCATTTTGCATGTTGAGATGCAATGCATCTCCCAAGCAGTTGCCTTGGTGCAGGAAATCACCGAGGGTCGAAGGTGAGGAACGCCAGCATGCCGAGAGAGCTCCATCCTGCTTCATGGGGCCCGTCATCTGTAAAGGAGGAGTTGGGCGTCCACTGGGACTGATGTTGTTGATGGAAGTGGGATAATACGACTGGACCGGAGCGGTGTTCACCACGGTCCTCTGTGGCGGGATGACAACCTCAGTTTGAGCGTGATACATGTTTGGTTCTGTAAAGAGGAGATGACACTGCTTAGCAAAGGCAAGGAATGTTGACCTAGCACTTTTACGAGGATTCTGGGACATGGAGTGAGGTTATGGTAGGCTGCCAGGAGGGGGTGGGGCACTGGAGGGGGCCCTGAAAAATCAAGCCCTCCTCTATGCCCCCTCCCTGAGGTCCCCTGCAGGATGAATTTCCCCTTTGCTCTTCCCAGATGTGGAAGGAGAGAGGAACAACGCACGGGAATTCTCTGTCAGAGCCAGAGACACAAAGCGACTTTTCTCAGTTTGTTCCCAGAATAGTATTTTCCACCTTGGGGAACAGGAGTCGAAGTCTGGCAGCTCCTCTGCCTTCCCTCCTGTACTGGCCGTCAGTGCAGAGAGAAAAAAGACGCAGCGAAACCTTCTGGGTCACAAGGCTCAGCTGGGCTTAGGACCAGAGTCCTCAATGACAGAAAAGCGATTCCTTGGGCTACCACTGCTCAGCTGACATGCCTGAACATGCTCTGACACAGTCTTCCTACAGTTACCCATGCAGTGGAAAACTTCCACCAGGATTATGGCAATCTTTTCGAAGTGGGGCTGCCTTTGAAGCTGGTCGGTACACTTTGGTCTGTGCAGAACACCCTGGCTCCTTACTGGGACTGGGCACTTTTGGACGTATCACCCCAGTGCCGTGGCACCAGCGTGGACTGTCTGTCCATTTCTGGGCCCAATTCAAACTGGGGCCACCCAGGCAGCTTAGGGCTGGGCTAGCTGAAGAAGCGCCTTCCCCTTCTGCCCAACCAGTAAGATCCGCTTTGGAGACTCTTCGCTGGATGGCCACCGGGAAAAGAGCCTTCTCTGTGAGTGGCCCCATCTGTGACGTGCCCTTCCCAGGGAAACCGGCCCAGCATCTTCGCTGCCTCTTTAACCAGGGATTCAATTTAAAATCAGCCGCTATATTAATTTGATGGTTATCTTCTCAGTGCTTCTAATATCATAAACATAATTTAACATTTATGTTGATATGTGTACGATCTTTATCATTTTTAATTGTTTGGTGTTATATCTATAAACCACCCTGAAGGCATTTGACAGTCAGATGGCAGAAATCAGATGAAGAAATAGATAATAAGTTGAGCTGTAGCTTTTTAAAAAGCACTTGTTTACACAGTATTTTTTTCTTTTAGAATACACCATCCATATGCAGGAGTTAGGAAGAAAGAGAAGAAAGTGGATATGAGTGGAAGGGGAATTTTAAAAAGAGAAAAGAGGAAAGGAGACTCTACCTTTCTTAATTATCTTTCCCTCATTGGCAGAAGTCTGGAACGCAGCAGCTTTAGGCTTCTCAAATGGACCTGCCAGGCAAAAATATGCTTAGCCCACATATTTCACTAAAAGCAAATGGAGCATCGATCACACCCTCTCATTTCAAAGATCAGGGACGAGGGCCATCAGAAATGGAGCCACTGAAGAGCCCCAAGATACAATAGCGAGGATGCTCACTGGAACGCCGAGGTGAGCGGAAGAATGAAAGCGGAAAACCAGCAACCCCCCACACAGCCCAACAAGGATTAAGTATGTTCAGTTGCTACCAGATATTATCAGTCGCATAAGAGAATTAAGAATGGGGCTGGGAAAATCAAAACTGAGGCAGGGAGTGGCACAGGTCTAGGCGAATCAGGGCTCTTGGTACAGGCTTGTTAGGTTTTCTAATGGAACAAGCACCTGCAATTTAGGCTTAGGGTGACCAAGCAAACCAGGGCAGGCGGGGGCATCTTTGCAGACTGCCCCTCCAAGTGGTGCTGTGCAGTTCGGGTCTCCTTGTCCACGATCCTACAGAGGTGTTTCCATGGCATGGGGGTTTTCCCTGCAGTCACGAGGATGAGTGTTTTGCTAGGAAGGCATGATGAAGCTGTTCAACCTAAGAAGACCAGGGCGGGAGGGGGGAAGAATATGCTTACCGCAGTCTTGCATGAGTTTCTGTAAGCCCGTGGGCGGCCTCTGTTTTTTCGCTTTATGGCCATATGGGTCTGCAAGAAGAGAAGGAAGGTGGCATCAGGGTCAGCAGTCAAGCTGGTCACACATACACCCCGTGCGCACACACGGCGTCCTGGGAATGCTTCCTGAAGCACAGAGGCCAGATGCTGAGTTCTGTTCAATGATGCCAGGGGTGAGGTTGCGGGGGGGTTCCATCCCATAACACCCTTCCCCCTCACAAGCTACCATCCGTAGGGTGTGGCTTAGGGAACCTGCAGAAGTGAGCCAGCCATGGCGCTGCAGCTACGGAACGCTAGAAAAGTCAATCTGGAATCATAAGCCTAATTTGACCAAGTGCCCCTTTCCCCTCAAAACCAAACCCAGCCTGACCCACAAACCTTCTCTGTGGCCACTGCTGCTAAATTCAGAGTTGGCACCATACCAGGTGCTCCATACATCTTGTCCACCCCTGAACTATGTGGTAGGATACAGGAAGACCTCCTCTACAGAATTATTTATTTTTCCATCTAACCCAATAATGCCTACTCTGACTGGCAGCAGCCCTCCAAGATCCTAGGTGGAGGTCCTTTGCACTAGCTGCTCTGTTCCCGTATTTAATTGTCAAGGAGATGCCAGTGATCAAAGTGGATCCCTTCCGTAGGTTGTCTACCACTCTTCCCACCACATTCACACAACCCAAAGAAATTCACACAACTGAAGAGGCCAGCTCCTCTTCAGTTATATATATTCCTTGTCATGACACCCTCAGGCCTGACCAGCAGCTGGTGTTTTCCAACACAAGCTAAACTTTCCATTCTAAATACTGGAAACTAATTTTTCTTCTCTAAAAATCTCTTCTCCCTTTACTCTATGCATGTTTAGACAGAAAAGGGGCCTACAACTTCCAGCATGCCCCATGGCTGTCCAGGGAATGCTGAGAGTTACAGGCCTTTTTTTCTTTACTAAACTTTCTTTGCCATTTGATTGTGTCAAATAGAGTAAATTGATAGGAACAGAAGAGGAAGTTGTCTCTGTGACATCGCAGAGTAGACAGAAAAGGAAGTGGTTCCAGATCTGATTCTCGTGCGTGGAGGAACAAATTTTATCCTTGTGCATGTCAGCACTGATTTGGCAGCACTAGCTAATTTTGTGTTAGCGGATTTATGACCACGTGGCTTTCCAGAGTTCTCATACCTTTTTCCTCAGGTAGGTATCTAAAGTCCATAGGGTCACTGACTTCTTGATCTGAGGGTCTCCGCAGCTGCATCTTCACAGTCACGGGTTCAAAGATGTCTTTGTGAAAGGGAGGCGTCCTAAAGACGATGGCGACTTGACGATGCACATCAGCTTGTGAGAAGACCCCCTTGGCTTCCCAGTCATTCATGAAAAATCTCACTTCAATGTCATCTGAGAGCCAGAAAAACAAAGCATTGGCGTTAACGTGGGAAACCAACAAGCCAAAATGGTTGAGCATGTAAATGACCAAATCAAGGTCTTACTATGTATTTCACAACATCTCCCTCCACAAGTTAATTCTGGCCAGCTTTCCCACAGCCCCAGACAGCAAGGCTGGCAGCCTGGGATGATGGGAGCAGAGTGTGAAAGATGCTAAAGACATCTAAGAAGTTATGATCATTCAAAGTGATCTGGGGAGAAAATAATTCAGCTTCTGTCACAACTGAAAGAAGACCTGATGTCAGGAATGGATCAGGGACCTCCCAAGGACATCCAAACGCCCCTTTTGCTGCAGCATTAACTTCCGTCTCATGCTTGGGTCAGGATCTTAGCCTGCCTTACTCCATGAGGGACAATTAAGGGAACTTAGACTCTTGTGCGGACGACTGGCAGTGGCCTTGATGTTCGTCACCAGCAAAGGAGGAAGTCTGGTACAAGCCGATCACCTTTCTGAACCTTGTCGCAGAGGAGGAAAATTTCATCTCCACCTTTCACACTTCCGCAATTCTTGTTCACACGGCAGATTCTCAGTTCTGCTGAATTGGGGGCACCTAGAGAAAAAAGGGAAACAATGATTGGGGAGTGAGGGGGAAATGGGGTGAGCAGGGAGGGGGAAGCTGTTACCGAAACTCATGCTTTAAAAATAGGTTTGGGGGAAGGAAATGCACTTATGTTATCCGGAGGGTGGGTGAAGCGGAGGACTGCACAAGCTGCAGCAATCAAAGTGCTGAAATCTGGTCTGGAAATGGGACGGAAGGTTTTTCTAGGGCAGAATAATCCACACAATTTGCTAATGGGCTCCTTTAGGTTCACCAGGGATGGACAATTCCACAGGTCCAGGAGCCACGCTGTCCCATCAGGTATCTACCACCTACAGCTCCCACCTCCTGCGAAAGTTGCGGTTTCTGAATTTGCCGTGGTGGCAGCCCACCCAAAATGATTCAGCAACACAGCAAGGCATTCAGGGAAACGGAATCACACTCCACTCCCAAGAGGCCTTGTTCTCTTGAAAACCTCTGGGTTCTTTCCTGCCCTAGCAGCAAGGAATGTGGCCACTTTCAAAATGGATGTAAGGAGGTCCACCTTTGCTTTTAAACGTCCTTCTCTGGAACCATCGAGATGGATCATTCTCTTTTCTTTAATAGAGTCGATTCTGGCTAAGCACAGGGGCAGTTCAGTTTTGTGGGATCAGGTTACCTTAGGAACGGCCTCAGCCTTTTTCGTCTCTGCCCCATCTCTGCCACATGTCCCTGAGGTTCGCCTCTTGCTGCAGAATTTTTGTGTTCAGCTCCCACTTGCCAGAACACTTTCCCAACTGGCATTAGGCAGAAATCCGTGGATGTAATGTCCAGGTGTTTTCTGGAAACGCGTTTCACACGTGCGTTCCCTGCTATATGATCCAGCCGCTTCTGCATTTATTGTGCTGTTCTACTGTGTTTATGCCTTTGTGTTTTGAGCTCCCCATTTTGATACCTTCATGGAAAGCAGTATGGAAATGAATCAATAAATATGCTGGGGGCCAAAGAATGGCTTTTGACAGGGCCTCTGAATTGGGAGTGTGAAGATTCAAGGAGTGATTTCTGGTGTGCTTCCCAACACAACCTCCCCGAGCTAACCATCGAAAGGCATCCCGCAGCTATTTCAACTTTTTCTCCTCAACAGCATTTATCTGGTAAGGAAAAAAGGCAAAGCAGCAGTGGGAAGACACAGGAGGGTCGTGCAGCAGAGGCATCGGCACCGGAACCCCACTACAGAATTCCAGGAATGAGGCAGGCGGGTGGCACGAGAAATGCCTTGCCTGGAAATGCCCGGAGGGTGGGACTGATGTGGACACTGGAGGTACAGAAGAACATGCCACTGAGCAAATCTGAGAATCCAGAGTTTAGATGCAGCACTTTAAAAGAGCAAGATAAAAATTCTACTCCACGTTACTCCGAGTCCTGCAGAAACAATGCACAATGCATGCAAAGCGGGAAGGCAGGACTGCTATGTCCACAGGCCTCGTGTGGCCCACAGAACGTCTGCATGCTGTCTGGGAAGAATTCTGGGAGTTCTCCCAGGAAAGGCCATCACTAACAGTACAGAGGCTGCAACACACAAAAGGCCCCATGTCTGACCCCAGGATCTCCACTTCAGATGGGAAAACTTCCTGCCGGAAGCTAAAATGGTCCAACTTAGTATACAGCAACTCAGCCTGTTCATTCAATAACATTCAAGGTGGAATCCCCTGCCGTTTCTGATCTAAGCCTGGAGGGAACCGGTGGGTTGCAGGGGGTGAGGGACTGAGCCAGTGCTGGGAAGAACCCCTCTGTTTCCAAGTCCTGGATAACTGGCTTGGTGCTGCACACCCAGAACAAAGCTGCACCCCTGGATCCCCGAATAAGTACCAGCTGGAAATGTTTTGTGCTTCCTCTTTCCGGCCGAGTCCAGCAGCAAAGGTGGCGAGAAGATTCATGGCTGGTGGGGAGGATGAGAGCAGTGGCGGTGAAATCGTGCCTTGATGGTTGTCCGCACCCCGGGTGCGGATGGGTGTGCATATATTATGTTACAACAGCAAACTGTTCTGCTTTGACTGAAGACGGGATATCAGAGGGCCCACCATGAACTATTTTAGAGCTCTCAAGTCTTGGCATGTGGCAAACCGCGTCAGTTCGGCCTCCGCCAGTTTTGTTCAGATATGGCTTTCTATTGTGTCGCCATCTTGCACGATTCAGGAAATTCTGCCAGGCAAGGCTGCACCCTTCCCGTACCTTCCAACTGGTAATTTATCACTGGTCCCTCCATCGTGTTTAATGCCACCAACAGAAATAAAATCCATTTCAGATGGAAAGACAGAAGAGTTTTGACTGGTAATGCTTGAAGGAAACCTCATCTGGAAGTGCCTCTGCAAAGAATAACTCCCTAGGGGCCCAAAGAGACAGGCAGGGTGCCCTGCAACGCATCTGTGACTGGAGGACACTTACGGTTGTCATAGATCGGGTTGGAGACGACTGGATGAAGAGGGATCGTGCAGTTGCCATGTTCGTCGCAAATGAAGGCCTGGAAGCAGAGTCTCACGACGTTGAGGTCGTATTCCTCGATGGCCAACAGCTGCTCCTCCGGTACTGCAGAGACAGAGAGAAGCAGGAAAATGAAGGAGCTTTGCACTCAGGGCAAGACAGAGAGCGAGAGAGACCACAAGGAAGCTCGCTGCCAGGAGTCTGGGGCAACCCAATAGCAACCCCTTCCTGGCCAGTGATAACATCTGAAGAGCAGTTGTTTATCACGACCGTCCCTTACCCGTGGCCAAAGAGGGCCCAAAACTGCAGAGAGCCTGACCAACATCTGTATATGCACTCCTGTGTATTTTGCACATGTGCAGAGAAATAAACTCACAAACACGCACAATAACTGGGCTCCAGGAGTTTCTTTTCCCAATGCCAGGGAGAAACAGTTTATCTCAGACTCAACAAACCAGTTATCATTTCCACCAGAAGCAGGTCTTTCTGTAAAGCTGATGAAGATTATTTTTTCTTCTTGTTATTATAATTTCCATTTATATATGGCCAGTTAGCTGAAGCTCCCTGGGAGGCTAACAACAATAAATAAAAACAAGAAAATAAGTACAGATACAGTAAAAAGGCATAAAACTCAATATTTATTTATTTAAAACTTTTCTGGACTGTCCCATTACTGAAGTCTCAGGATGGTTTAACAATACAAAATGTAAACAGTTTTAAACACAGCATCTTAAAATTCAACTAATAATAAAACCCCAATTAAAACAGTCAGGTCTTAAAACATTGGGAAAATAAAAAGGTTTTGGCCTGGTGCCGAAAAGTACAAAGTGACGGTACCAGGCAAACCTCTCTGGGGAGCGAATTCCACAATTGGGGTGCCACTGCAAGAAAGGCCCTTCTTCGGGTGGTCACCCTCCTAATCTCCTTCAGGGAGGGCACCCAGAGAAGGCCCCTGTCCCAGATCTTAAGGGGCGGGCAGGCGCATATGGAAGGAGACGCTCCTTCAGGCATCCTTTAGGGTTCTGCAACATCTACATGAAGCTCAACCCACCAAATCTCTGCTTAGAAAGGACTAGCAAGCAGTCGAGGTAGAAAACGTGTTGGAAGCCCCGAAGTGGAGCCCGTTCCGAACAGGATCCAAGTCTGGGGTTTGAGGGACTGAGCAGCTTGACCTGGAAAAGATCAGTCCTGTCCAGGATGCTACCAAATTTCAAAGGCTCTGAATTCCTGACCCCTTTGGATTGAAAAGGTCCCAGATTGGGGGTTGAACCCGAACCAGAGTGCCCAGGGCACCCTGCAGCATCAATTCTGCTTTGGTTCAGCTTTCCCAGTCCAGCTTGGGAAGGTGGGAACACATAACTCAAGCTTGGGCTAAGCTGAGCACCTTTGTACCAACCCAGCTCATCCCATTACGCCCAGCCAGTATGGCCAGTGATGGGTGCTGTGGCCCAACATTTCTGGGGGCTGTGGACTGGGGCAGGCTGCATGGCAGAGGCTGACCAGATGAGTGTCGCAGCTAAGTGAGTGGGAAACTTTCAGGAACTGATCGCCAGTACACCGGGAAGGGGGGCTTCCTCCTGTGGCTCCCCCCATCCTGAACGATTCCTCATAACCTCCAACTTGCCAGACACTTCCTCAGATCCGGACTTTCAGGAGCATCTAAAATCAATCTTCTGACCCCAACCTCGCACTGCGCCTTTATTAGCGGCCACAAGTGACATTTAAGAGGCAAACTGTTACTGACACGGTGCTAATAAAATGTACATGTTTCCGCAAAGAAAAAATTGCTTCCGTCACAGTTGTGGTCCTACCTACACAACATGTGAGGATGTGACACTTCTCCCACTCAGTTTGCTACTTTTTTCTTAATGGTGGGGAGGAAGTGAGGGTTTCTCCTCTGCTGTAGCCTCTCCGACAATCGCAGTTCTAATAAGCAGATATCTCAAGATCTCCTATTTTCATGGTACTGAGTCCCGTATGCAAGGGCTGTGGGTATTGTTCCCCAAAGGAAAAAAAAGAACTTTGCTTATTTCAGCAGTAAATATTTGCATAGGTCATGGTGCAAGGTAAAGAGGTACAGAACTCAAGCCTGTGGACCCAATCCTGCCTACTTGGGCTCCCAGTCCAGGCCTTGGGGTTTCTGCACAGGACGGTGCTACCCCCATCCCCCCCATCAACCATCTGGTCCTTTAACATGGGCTTTCTTTGCATTCTAGAATGTTGCAACACCTCCTCCATGAGGTCTATCTGCTTGCAATAAAGGTTTTAAGCTGCAGCATGTTTGCTTTGTAGGTATTTGCCCCTGTGCTGTTTTGTCCCTCCAAGAGCTCCCCCATGAACCTCTCAGACTGAAAGATGTTCAAGGGGTACTTCCAGGGACAAAAGGTTGCAAATGCTACCACTCAAACAACATATTGTGCAGCTAGTCTGACTTTTCCTCTAAACTGAGAACTGGTGGATATGGGTGGGAAGGTACTGCTGTCCGTGTCCAGTTTGGCGTTTCCTGCATGCAGCAGAAGGAGCACTGTGGGTCAGATTGGGCTCAGGATATGTGAGAAGTCTCCTTACGATTTTGAGGGGAAGGAAACAAGAGAAGGAATAAAACTCAGAAAGGTTATAAATGGAAGGCAACAACACTATCTGGACACCACCATTATCACCCCGTGAAATTGCAGGAATGAGGCAAGACTAATGCACAGTGGAAGAATAATCAGGACGTATCCCTAGTTCCCCGTATAGAGGAGTGTTTTTCGGGAAACATAAGCTTAAAGGCAGAGGCGTTCAAACTCTGTTCCCAGGAACTCTGGGTTTCCTTGGAAGTTCATCCGAGGGCCATTGCTGAGAAGATCTGAAGGAAAGGCCCTGAAAGACAGCTCAGTCCTTCACAATTGCTCTTCCCCGTGGTGTGTATCTCCGGGGAAGGAGGTTTTGGGTGCGTCCCTAGGCAGCAACCACCAAGGCTAGAATCCCCGGAGAGCCAAGCGTACAACCTAGAATGCTCTAGCACCTGTGCTAAGAGCTCCTCCAAAGCAAGCAATTCTGAAACACGCTGGAGGAGGAAGAGTTAGAACAGAACCTGTGTGTTCCTTGTATTATGTATTGATATTATGCATTGCATTATGCAATATATCATTGTATTAAGGTTTGTTTTGATTTTGTATCGCTTACAGTTAAATATTGTATTGCTTGATTGTATTGCTCTAATGTATTATCGTATTGTTATGGAATATGTATTATTTTGTTCTATTGTAAGCCACCCAGAGAGCCCATAAATGAATGAAGGAATGAATGCCGTCTGAACACAGCTGCAGCCTGCACCTGCTCAGGAAAGAGAGTGCTACTGATGTTATTTGTGGCTTATACCTCTGGCTAGGCCTAGAATTGCTCGAGAAGACCCTAACCTTGCGAAGAATAGCACCAGAAGTCCCCAACCCATGCAACTGCTCCTGGGTTTTGAAAGAAATAAGCAAACATCCGTACCCACTGCAGGCAGAGCTGCGTTCTCACAGGAATCCGTTTTGTTCCATACGGACTGTGGTGGGATTTAGGAAAGGTGAGAGGGACGGGAAAAACTGCCAGGGGCCAGCATGCCCCTGTGCTGTGCAGTCCTCTTGAGCTTTCAAATGAGAGTAACGAGTCTCCCCACACCAAAGGCAATGCAGCAAGACCTTGCCGAAGGCTGTCTGAAAGAACAGGAAGTGCGCGGACGCGCTGCAGAGTTCTTGTGCGGCTCCCATCCATTTTGATACAGAGCAGAACGTCTCAGTGGATCGTGCCCAACTGAATAGCGGGTCAGCAGTGCTTCACGTGGGAAAGCTCCTGCCGTGGGATGCCGGCCGTTCCTTCTACCGGGAAAGTAGGCGTTAAAATGGCAAACGCATTTTGGGAGGAAGCATAAGATGATGCGCGGGGCGGTCCGGTGTGGTCTTGGAGTTACAGTGGGCAGCTGGATATAATGCTGGCTCAGTGTGCAGCCGCCAGGGAATTGGCAAATTCCACGTGAGGCCTAATTTGGAAAGGGAGTACAATTGCCAAGGTGATCCTGGCCTCACACAAAATTACACGGCAATATTGTGACCATATTCTGGCCATTGCACAGAAAAGGAAGCTGCTGATTTGGAAAAGGGCAACTGAAAAGGTCGAGGGGCTGGAGCAATTGCCCCATGAGGAAAGAGACTGGTTAGCCGAGGGGGGAAAAATGTAAGAAGAGATCCGGTAGGTTTGCACAATTAGAAAGGAGAGGGTGGATCCCTGAGTGCCAGTGTGGTGTTGAGTGTGAAGGACTGGGAACCTGTGAGGTCTGGGTTCTAGTCTCTGCTCAGCTATGAAGCTGAGTAACTCACTCTAGCCTAGCCCACCTCACAGGGTTGTTGTGGGGATATCATGGAATGCAGGAGGACTGTATAAGGCACTTTGGGTTCCTCAAAAGAGTGGGGAAGGGCAAGATATAAATGAAATATTGATGATGATGATGATATCTCCCATGACACTAGAAGCTGGGATCATCCTACGAAGCTGCATGGTAGGAGATTCAGAACAGAGCAAGAGAAAGAGTTGTTCACACAACACTTGGCTAACCTCTGCAACTCAATTCCACAAAAGGGAAGCAAAAAGCACTGGATGGCTTTAAAAGGGAACTGGTGAAAGAGGCTATATAGGGCTACTAGTCCTGATGGCGCTGTGCTATCCCCAGAGGCATTATGCCTGTGTGCACCAGCAGCTGGGGAGCATGGGCAAGAGGGTTCCAGAAGCAACTGGCTGGCCACTGTGTGAAAGGCTAGGGGAACATTAGATTCACACAAAGTGCTGTGCACCCAAAGCTATAATCCTTCCTTGGGGTCCCCTACGGAAGCTTCAACAACTCTGCAGCAAGGCGCCTCTCTTTAAGCCCCATTCTTAAAATAGTGATTTATTATTATTTTTTTTAATCTGCAGCTCAAAAAGAGGAAGAGCATTTTCCTTGGGTTATTTTTAAATTCCACTTCCTATTGCAAAAACAAAATAGTGAGCACTCATTCTTTCCTTTGCTGTCCCTGTTACGGCATCCACACCAAACGCCGACTCCGTCCATCCCTCGCAGTCAGGTAGGCCAACGGTGCTGTCCC